TGAATAGAGTAGATAACATGACATCAAACGAGAACAGTGTAACTCCATGATTAGTTTTCAACATACGTCTTCGTCGACTCATCAAGCTTCCTCTTTTTCTCTTTCTTTCCTCCTCTGATTAAATTTCTAGGGTTTTTTTTTTCTTCTACAGCTGATTCAGTTAAAGTTTTCATTTTTTTTCAATGAGAGCTCGGAGATGGAGAATATGGGTTTGAGAACTGATATGGCTTCGTTTCGTGTTATCTGGGGAATCGGGGTTTCTAATGGCTGAGTCAACTCGGTGATTCAGTGTATCTGCTTTCTACCGTCACGAGGAAATATAAATAAAGGTTGTAGCTTTCTTGTTTTTTTTTTTTAATTAGGTGTGTGTTTTGTGTTTCCTTCCCTTTTTTCCTGTGAAAGGTCGAATCTTTTTTCGGTGTTTGCAAAAGGGAAAAGTTGTAATCTTGGGGGAAAAATCTCTTCTTTTCGTTTAGTGTGTGTGTTTGGTATTTGCTCCTTTAAAAGTCGACGAGAAATAAAAAGGCGTAGTCTTGTGTCTCCTTTAGAGATTACATGGAAAAAAAACCTCTGCTGATTTCGAAGCTCTAAGGAAATAGAATTCAGTAATGTGATTCGAATCCACTCTGCATGCTTAGGATTTGAGATGGAAGGGCATTGAGTATCTGTATTGGTTTCAGATTTGGTAGTGGAATTAAAGTTGGAGATTTTGGAGTTTGTGGTGGGATTAAGAAGCTCTGTCTCCTACACGAAGTTGTGGTTTTTAAGGTTATGTTCTGTTAGAAAGGAGTAGACTTTGGTATTTGGGTATCATCTGGAGTGGTATTACTGTCATTTTGTGGATTCTGTGAAGTGAAGAAGTGATGGCAATGTCTTGCAAAGATGGCAAGTTGGGATGTTTGGATAATGGCAAGTATGTGAGGTACACACCTGAACAAGTCGAAGCACTTGAGAGGCTTTATCATGACTGTCCTAAACCGAGTTCCATTCGCCGTCAGCAGTTGATCAGAGAGTGTCCTATTCTCTCTAACATTGAGCCAAAACAGATCAAAGTGTGGTTTCAGAACCGAAGGTATAACTAATACTATTCATTTCTTGGGAAATTTGTAGTAATTGGAATTTTCTTAGGTCTTCTCTCTATCTAGTGGATTCAATCTTTGCCTTTTCATTTGTGTTGTAAAACTTCAGGTGCAGGGAGAAACAGAGGAAAGAGGCTTCACGGCTTCAAGCTGTGAATAGGAAGTTGACGGCTATGAACAAGCTCTTGATGGAGGAGAATGATAGGTTGCAGAAGCAAGTGTCACATCTGGTTCATGAAAACAGCTACTTCCGTCAACATACTCACAATGTAAGAATCCTATCTTAAGAGAATTTCAAGAATGGTTTCTGTTAATGAAATGTGTATTGATTTAGTTTATCTTTTTTTCTCAGCCTTCACTCCCAGCTAAAGACACAAGCTGTGAATCGGTGGTGACGAGTGGTCAGCACCAATTAGCATCTCAGAATCCTCCTAGAGATGCTAGTCCTGCAGGGTTGGTGCTTTTAATGGGAATATGGTTTACTCTTTAGTTCAAAAATTTCATATTGCCATTATTTCTTCTGAGATTAAACGTTACAATTTGTTTTTTTTTGGTCAAGACTTTTGTCCATTGCAGAAGAAACTTTAGCAGAGTTTCTTTCAAAGGCAACTGGAACCGCTGTTGAGTGGGTACAGATGCCTGGAATGAAGGTATGCCCTTTGATCCAATCACTCTAATTTACTATCTGTTAATGGAACAGTTTAATACGAATCATTCAATTTTTCTTTGTTGTGTATTTCTGTAACAGCCTGGTCCGGATTCCATTGGAATCATCGCTATTTCTCACGGTTGCGCTGGTGTGGCAGCACGCGCCTGTGGCCTAGTGGGTCTTGAGCCTACAAGGGTATGTGTATAAGATCATCCTCATGCTTGATTTATTCAGTCTTCTAATACTAGTCTACATGTGTTACATAAGTAACAAGATTGACCTGTCAACTCTATTTTTCCAGGTTGCAGAGATCGTCAAGGATCGGCCTTCGTGGTTTCGCGAATGCCGAGCTGTTGATGTTATGAATGTGTTGCCTACAGCCAACGGTGGAACCATTGAGCTGCTTTATATGCAGGTTAGTACTTGTACACTATCCGTGCTAAGTGAAACACCATTTTTCTTAGCTGAAAGTAGTGACCAATGTTCTTTTGATCGTGCAGCTCTATGCACCGACTACTTTGGCGCCACCACGTGATTTCTGGTTGTTGCGTTACACCTCTGTTCTAGAAGATGGCAGCCTTGTGGTATGTAGCTCTGAGTATACGCTTCTTTTTTTTCTCTTGTGTTGGTTTGCATATTCATGTTGATCCTTTTCACATGGTGTAACAAATTTTTCTATAGGTGTGCGAGAGATCTCTTAAGAGCACTCAAAATGGTCCAAGTATGCCACTGGTTCAAAATTTTGTTAGAGCAGAGATGCTTCCCAGTGGCTACTTGATACGGCCTTGTGATGGTGGTGGCTCGATCATACACATAGTGGATCATATGGATTTGGAGGTAAACAGTCCTCACCTTTTGCTCCAATTTCTATGCATTAAATCAAGATATTGGAAACATTAACCACACTGTTTGGATATTTTTTTAATAGGCTTGTAGTGTGCCTGAGGTCTTGCGCCCGCTCTATGAGTCACCAAAAGTACTTGCGCAGAAGACAACAATGGCAGTAAGTGAACTTAAGACTTGTCTATTCCTAACATTTCTTTCTCATGTTTGGTATCATTGTCCTTAAATGATGTATATATGTCCGATTTGTTTCAAAGGCGCTGCGCCAGCTCAAACAAATAGCTCAAGAGGTTACTCAGACTAATAGTAGTGTTAATGGCTGGGGACGACGTCCTGCTGCCTTACGAGCTTTGAGTCAAAGGCTAAGCAGGTTTTGATATTCATCACTATTTTGCCTTTTCTTGCTTCAGGTGGAAGATTCAAAGATTTGTTGCCTAATCCCTTTTCTTTTCCTACAGGGGCTTCAATGAGGCTGTTAATGGTTTCACCGATGAAGGCTGGTCGGTGATAGGAGACAGCATGGATGATGTCACAATCACTGTGAACTCTTCTCCAGACAAGCTGATGGGTTTGAATCTTACATTCTCCAATGGCTTTGCTCCTGTTAGCAATGTGGTTTTATGCGCAAAAGCCTCCATGCTATTACAGGTCCGTCCACCATTATAGATCTACTGATGTTTGTTTCAACACATTTTCTTCTTTATTCTTACTTTTTTGTGGGTTTTTGCAACTCTAGAACGTTCCTCCGGGGATCCTACTTCGGTTTCTGAGGGAGCATAGATCAGAATGGGCTGACAACAACATTGATGCATATCTAGCAGCAGCGGTCAAAGTGGGGCCTTGTAGTGCCAGAGTTGGAGGATTCGGAGGGCAGGTTATACTTCCACTTGCTCACACTATTGAGCATGAAGAGGTAAAAATTCAAGTTTTCTTCTGTGCCCTTAAATTTTTTCTTTATCTTCGTTTAGGTTGAAGTACTAAATGGTTGGTGTTTTTTCGTTATTAGTTCATGGAAGTCATCAAACTGGAAGGTCTTGGTCATTCCCCTGAAGATGCAATAGTTCCAAGAGATATCTTCCTTCTTCAAGTAAGTTCTTTAGATTGTCCCGTCTGCATAAGCTTAAATGTAGATTTTTAACGCCTGAACACATGTTTCTTTTTGATTAGCTTTGTAGCGGAATGGATGAAAACGCTGTTGGAACTTGCGCTGAACTTATCTTTGCTCCAATCGACGCTTCTTTTGCGGATGATGCACCTCTGCTTCCTTCTGGTTTTCGTATTATCCCTCTTGATTCCGCAAAGGTTAGAAGAATCCATAATGTTTTTCCATTCAAGTTTTTCTGTTCTTGTTTTTCAGACACTTACGCTTTTCTTGATACTTTAAGCAGGAAGTATCTAGTCCAAACAGAACCTTGGATCTTGCTTCTGCGCTGGAAATTGGTTCAGCTGGAACAACAAAAGCCTCAGCTGATCAATCAGGGAACTCCACATGTGCAAGATCTGTGATGACAATAGCGTTTGAGTTTGGTATAGAGAGCCATATGCAAGAACATGTAGCATCAATGGCTAGGCAGTATGTTCGAGGTATCATATCATCGGTTCAGAGAGTTGCATTGGCTCTCTCTCCTTCCCATATCAGTTCACAAGTCGGTCTACGCACTCCTTTGGGTACTCCTGAAGCCCAAACACTTGCTCGTTGGATCTGCCAGAGTTACAGGTACATAAATCAAACTATCAAACATAGTTATAGTTTTTTCCACCAAATCAACAATGTCTAATTACTCAACATGATTCATTTTTCCTTTTGATAAAAGGTGCTACATGGGCGTTGAGCTACTCAAATCGAATAGCGAAGGCAACGAATCGGTTCTCAAGAACCTTTGGCATCACACAGATGCTATAATCTGCTGCTCAATGAAGGTAACACAACATCAAACACATCAAACAGAAGTAATTGGTTCGTATGTTGGCTGATTATGTTTTCGGATTTGTGTTTTGTTTTAGGCCATGCCTGTCTTTACATTTGCAAACCAGGCGGGACTGGACATGCTAGAGACTACATTGGTTGCTCTTCAAGATATCTCTTTAGAGAAGATATTTGATGACAATGGAAGAAAGACTCTTTGCTCTGAGTTCCCACAGATCATGCAACAGGTTTTTCAGAAAACATTCTCTGATCTTTTTTCATTCTTACCGGATTTAGTTCTGTTTCATCTGACTTACTGTGATCTTTGTTCTAGGGTTTTGCGTGTCTTCAAGGAGGGATATGTCTCTCAAGCATGGGGAGGCCAGTTTCGTATGAGAGGGCAGTTGCTTGGAAAGTACTCAATGAAGAAGAGAATGCTCATTGTATCTGCTTTGTGTTCATCAACTGGTCCTTTGTTTGAGATTATTGTTCTTTTGTTTCTCCAGACGAAATCTTTTGCGTTTTGGTTGTGTTGTAAAACGATCTTTGTTGTTGTGTTCTTGATGTTGCTGTGAAACATAAACAGTATTTTGTTTGAAACACAAGAAAATGTATGCTTTTGTATTTGGTTATGACTATGAGTGATGATCTTTTTCTTTTCTGATTATTATTGCTTTTAGCTTTCTATAATTTTATGGGATTTTCTTTACACAAAATTTTCCCCATCACACAATTTATCTTTTATTCCCTTTCCTTAAATTTATGTCAATCATTACACTCAACTCAACAATGACCATCTCTATCTGGTGCTGGTTTCTGTTTAGGATAAGGTTAAGGTGTAAACCGATAATTTGATTGTTTAGGATAAGGCTGGGATTTAAACCGGAAACTTCTAAGCGAAATCAAACCAAAATGTGTTCATAACGGCTACTTTATAAAGATCAATGGAAATTGGATTTAATTTTAATGCCCGCCCTTAGTTTATGATGAAAATGTGTGCCCATAAAAATAATTACACTTGTTTTAAGTTGAATTCAATTTCCTTGAGAAAGATATTAAAAAAAGGTGCAACAATTATTTAAACATAAAGCAAAGACCTATAAAATCCATTTCTAGATTATGGCTATCATACATAGTGCAATCTAAAGTACAAAAAAAGTTGAGATATAAAAGTTTATTATACCACCACCCTTCCACCTTAAATTTGTATTTTTGTTTCTGCTTTTCCATTATTTGGGTTGATTAGTACATGCGTACGTACATCAAGTTGTTACATTCTTGTGCTCAACTATATCCTTCATGAAATTGTTTTAATAATCGTATATATGTCAAAGATCAATTAACATAGTAGGCATGTCGATTTGATTACATATCAATCCCTAAGACTATCCAACTTTAAAACATCTACATGTCTTTTTTTACCACCAAAAAAATATAAAAAACAAAAAAATCCAAATGTCTTAAAATGTCATATTGCATGTATGAAGTTATTGTAATTTCATTCTTATCAATGAAATAATCTTCATCCAAGAATACAAGGCTATAATAAACCTTACATCCTAGCTAATAAAAATACATATAATCTAAATATAAGCCTTACAATTCGTCCATATTAACAAAATTTGTTTTCTTTTAAAGTGACATGACATGGATTCAATAATTATGCTCCAATAAGCTTTTGCTTTGTCTTTATAATCTTTGTATAATCTTGCACGTTTTAGTACCTCTCTCTTTCTTCCTTTATAAACCCCTCACATTTCTACTCCTTAGCTCATAAGTAATCAAACACCAAAAAATAATAATAGAAACTCTCTTTCTCTCTCTAGAAAAACTCTAAAGATCGATGGATCAAAACGTACCAATAAGCAAGAAGCTATGGAACATCGTACGTTTTCTCTTGTACATGATCCGCAAAGGCGTCTCAAAACACAAACTCATCGCCGACTTCAACGCCACTCTCAAACGAGGCAAGAACCTCATGTTCCACCACCGTCGCCGTGTCCCAGCAGCAGCGACCGCCTCAGACGCTCTACACGCTGCTTCAGCTTCCACCGCAACTTCGCGTCAAGAATATGAGTTTAGCTGCAGCAACACTCCAAACTACTCTTTCCCTTTTCCCAACGTCGCTTTCATGAAGAAAAAGAGTCACAATAGTCTCTTTGCGTGTGGTCAGACGCCTCAGACGCTTGACGATGAAGCAGCCGCTAGAGCCGTTCTTGAGCTTCTTAACGGCGTCGGAGACAAAGGAAACGTCACGCCAATGGATTTGTCAGCGGCTTTGTCTCCTTACTTCCCCGGGTTTGGACGGACTCCTTTGGTGAGGCCTTTAAGGGTTACGGACTCACCGTTTCCGTTGACCCCGGAAAATGGTGACTTGGGTAACGGACACGTGGACAAAGCGGCTGATGATTTTATAAAGAAGTTTTATAAGAACTTGAATCAGCAGAAAAAGATGATTGAGTTTAGCTAATATAATGAAACCTCAGTGTGTATCTTCATAATTCTCTTCTTCCTTGAATATTTCTTTCACTCTCTTTTTTTCTCCTTTTTCTGCTGATTAAATGCCAAAGATGTAATGATATTTTTGGGGGATTTTTATTTTCGCACTGAAACAATTGGATATTATGAATAAAAAAGTATCATGGGTTTTACTATTAGTACAGATATGTACTAACTGTTATGTAGAAATTTGTAATGCCTAACAAAAATGATTCCAAGGAAATTAATCAATCTTCGGATCCACAAACTTTCACACAGACACCAAAATTGTTGCAGTTAAACTAGTTTTTTTTTTCTTCTACTAAATCTTGTTTTTTTCCTATATCCAATGAATGAATACTTCAAGAAGAGATCTCTCTAGCTTTTTAACAAAGCAGCATCTTTAAGATAATTAACACTTAACAAAAATTACAATAATTTTTGTATCAACTCTGAATCTGATGACTGAAGTCACTTTATTTACTATATTATTTTGAAAAAACAATTATTTCAGTAAAAACAGTTGAATCCAACTATTTTTGTAAACTAGTTCAATGACCTACTAATTTTCATGTTATGTTATTTTTGTCAATTAACAATCATCAGAACCATATGAAAAAAATAATACTATTATATAATATAAATTCACTTTTGCATCTGTTTTGTTGTCTCAGCTAATATATATATTCTGCAAAATTCTCCGTATCGTCCTTTGATTACCTACCATTTCGTACGGTTTGAATCTTATTAGCGTTTTAATTATTTGCATTATTGCATGTCATGGCCCCAAAATAGACGCCCAGGAGGGTTACGTTCTTTTTTTTTTTTTGGTTTTAGAAGGTTATGTTCTTATTTACTTTTTGTATTGTTTTACATTGAAATATTGTCTTCTATCTCTCCCAGGTTAATATGTAGTATCAGCTCACTTTCCAAAACATATATGTATGCACTGAAAACATGCTTAGGAAATAATACCGTGTAGTGAGATTTTGCGGAGTATTGTGTTGATATTATTGAATTATTCAACTTTGATGAGATAAAACACGAAACTTAAAGTGGACATTGCAAGCTGTTTGGCTCTTTCCCTAAAGCAAAAGAGAGAAAAGTACTTTCTTTTCCAACTTTTGTCTTTAATTTTCTTATACTTCTTTAAGTTTTCTTTATAATATGTTCACAAGTTTGAATTCATAGTCATAGCAATCAGCCAATTACTTAGCAAAACAACAACTCTACCACTATCAAGAAAAGCTTATATATGGCGGAGTCAATAAAAACTTCTTTCGTAAGTCACTATTTTTCATCTTTTTAGATTCTAAAAATCAGGAATCAAGAGCATGGTACTAAAATATTCTTTCCTTAGTTGGGATATAAAAGTGATTAAGACAAGTAGACAGTTATACATGTGTTTGATACAATTACAAATGCATCCTCTATATACACAAAGAGACAGATAGTGAAATACATGGCGCGTAATTTTTTTTTTGTAGGAGCTATTAAAAAAAATATGAAAATGGTTAACAAATTGCAGTATGTCACAGTTACTATTAATAACAGTATTTGTGTATATAAAACAATCAAAATTTTAAAGTTGTTATTTTCACACTATAAAAAAGTAGTATTGTGAAAGCGATATCTATATATTAAACAAGTACAGAAACAATTAAAAGAGATGATATCCAATGGTTCAAGAGAGAACTGCATTTAAAATTGTAACTTGAAAGACCAAGATGAAGCTTTTTAATAAATTATTTGGATCGTATCAAAGCTATCGTAGCAGCTTTTGTGCTGGTAGACATGCCTTTTTAGGGTTCTTATGAACATGTATGAGAGACATATACTTCTAAGTATCATTGTGAGATTCTTACTGGATAAGGATATCTTCATCCTATTATTGTATGTTTTTAATATCTGCGATCGAGTAACCTTTTTGTAAGGATAATGATTGATGGTTAACTTAGAAAATGTATTGAATAATCTGAGGAAAACAAAGTTGCTCCAATCTCATATACAGGTTTCCAACAATAGCCAAAACGTGTGAAAAAATGGATAAAAGACAAATTCAAAGGGCCGGCTCGGCCCATATATTCACCCACACAACATGTTGAACCAAGTTATAGACCATTTCCGTTGTATTATAGCTCTGTGCGAGGCATTCTGAATGGAATGAAGAAACCCATTTAAAATAGTCCTAATTAAACGTGAAGATGTCCAAAGATATTAACTAGTAGGAGTAATTTAAACTTTGAAGTCGTATACTAGTATATAGTAACAACTTCCTCATTTATAATGCAGTTAATCTTGTACCAGATCCGAGAAATAAATACAAGCGTTGACAAAAGGAAATTAACCTATATACAATGCAATTAGGATTCAATTATTGCAACAATTCCGCATAACAATATATTTGCAGGGAACTAGGGAAGGAGACTTCGTGTGGTCTTTTTATTATATGTAGACTTCGTCTAGTCTTTAAATAACAAAGTTTTATTTTAATAATTTTGATAAAACTTTAATGTTTTGAAATGACTATGTTATGTATTATTTATCACCGAAGCAAGAAGACTCGGATACAATCATACATTTTTACGATAGCCAAAGCTTGTCTATAAAAGACACCTTCATCCTTTAGCCTATAGATGACCAAAGCATCATCTTTTTCTCCCTCTCCTCCGCCATCAGAGGTCAGCTCTCTCTCTCTCTCTCTGTGCTTATTTGGTTTTATTTATGCTAATGTTTGATCACTTTACTCTTAAATAAACAATTGTAAATGTAACGAGATTGTACTTCATAGTTGGAAATTCTCCCTTTTCACCCAAGAAACTTCATATATCTTCTCAGCGAACACTTTTTTTCAAAAATAAAAGAAACAACTCATCTTCTTCAGTCTAGAACTCCCAGCTCAAGATTCAAATCTATCCAAGATGACCGAAAGGTTGGAAGCGGTAGGTGAGTCATCTCCCGCAAGCAATACTAAGTGGGACGATGGATCAGACCATGATGATGTAACAAAGATACGTGTACGAGGTGATCGTGAAGGCATACAATTCATCAAGTTTGACTATGTCGGGACTGGACAACTAAACGATAAATCCTTCCATGGTTTCTCTAATCAAGGTTTCACGCAGACGGTATGACTTTTACATATCCTAATTAAATTGCCATTTTTCGTTATTAATATATAAAAATTTGTATAACAAATGTTTTTTGCAGTTTGAGATTGATCATCTAAATGGTGAACATCTTGTATCTGTTGAGGGTTTCCACAACCGTGAGGTGATTCAGGGACTTCAATTCAAAACGAACTGGAAGGTCTCTGAAATCATGGGATATGAAAATTCTAACTTTAAGTTTACACTAGCCGTCCATGGCAAGAAAATCATTGGGTTTCACGGATCTGCTAGGGCCAATCTCAACTCTCTTGGAGCATATGTTACTTGGATTACTCCAACTAAATTGGAAGCAAAAGGGGGCAAGGGAAGCAAGGAGTGGAATGATGGAGCCGAATATGAGGCTGTAACAAAGATTCACATACGTGCTGGTTTAAAGGGCATACAAAACATCAAATTCGACTATGTTGACAAGGATGGACATACGAAAGCGGGGCTAGAACATGGTTCTACCTCGGGTGGAGGTTACACGCTGGAGCCGGTAAATAAAACAATTTTTTTTTTTTTTTTTTTTTTTTTTTTTTTTTTTTTTTTATCACACCAAGTTTAAAAGTAACAAAATAACAAAAGTTATTGTGTGCGAACATTTGTTTATCCTAAATGAATTACAAACATAATTATATATGTTTAGGTTCTCCTTTTATGATTTAGATTTTAATCGTATTGATATTGAATTTATTAGAAATTTAACTTGCAGTTGCTATTTTTTGAATAAAAAGGTAAAACGAAAAAAAAAAGTAAAACGATGCTAGTATTTAGATAAATGCCCATTAGTCATGATAGCTTGGTGTTATTTTATACTATTGCTGCCACTGTATTATTATTTCGGTTCAGCTGATTTTTGCATGGGATGGGATGGGAGTTGTTGGAATAGTTTTCGTCCACAAATAAATTTGTTTTACCTTTTTTTTTTTTTTTTTTTTTTTTTTTTTGGATTTTGTAGTTTGAGATCAAACATGTCGACATGGAATACCTGTTGTTTGTTGACGTTTACTACAACAAGGCTTCCGGTGTGATTCAAGCACTTCAATTCAAAACCAACACGAAGACTTCGGAATTGATGGGATGTTACGATGAAGAAACGGTTACTAAGTTTTCACTTGGATGTAACGGCAATAAGATCACTGGATTTCATGGTTATGCTGACAAGTACCTAAACTCCCTTGGAGCATATATCACATCGCTTCCTCTAACAAAATTGGAATACAAAGATAGTGTTAAAGGTCGACTATACGATAATGGGACCTCTGGCTACCTCTGGGACGATGGTACTTTCCAGGGAGTAAGAAAGGTATACGTTTATTATGATTCTTATTGTATACAGTGTGTTCGTTTCGATTATGATAACAACGGCAAAGTAAAATCCCGTGAGCACGGGACGAAAACTACAGCCAAGTTACAAGAAAGAGAGGTAATGTTTCCTAGAACTCTAAATATTTTTTTTTGGTTTCGAATTGTCAACCATGCCTATCTATATATGTGTTCTTGATTAATGGTTTATAAATAAATCCTTTTCTGTGGCAGTTTGTCGTGGACTATCCAAATGAATATCTCACGTCCGTGGAGGGCACTAACGTATATATTTATCCTCAAGCAGTGTTAACATCGTTGACTTTCAAAACATCAAAAGGGAGGACCTCCCCGTCATTTGGAAATGTATTCGGCCCCAATCTTGTTGAATTCGTGCTTGAGAGAAAAGGTTGTGCTCTTGTTGGGTTCCATGGACGGTCTATGTATAACATTCTTCATACTCTTGGAGCATACTTTTTTCCGATGCCTTCTCCTGAGGATGGGGAAAAATTAGAAGAACAAGGTGGTGATGGTGGTTATGGTGGTGTTTGATCATGTTCTTTGATGGACTCCTATACATCTTGTACTTTGTTTTTCATTTATTTCTCCTGACTAGTCCATTCCTGTCGCGGTGCTTGATGAATTTCCAAGATGTTTCTTTGGATGGACGGATGTTCAAATAGTTGTGCTACCAACGCCGGGTTATATCTTGTATACTGCTATTGTATTCACTTTTGTTGTTTGGTGTGTTTTTCTCAAATCTTATTTTATATGGGACTTTTTTTTTTCACAAAATAATTAAAAGTTCCATTTTTCTTCACAATAACAATGAGTGAAATGACTCAAAATATCATAGTATATCTGTTTAACATTAGAATGTTATTTAACAATAGCACACAAAATTAACTAAAATGGCGTAGATATACCTCTTCCTTTGAGTAAGCTTACTCATTCATCAAATTACGGCAAAGACCCGGTCGAAGCATTCTTGGGAATATAGCATCTTCTCAATGAACTTTACCCTTATAACCAGATAAAAATGAGAATGAGAGTGAAAGTGAGAGTGAGAGTGAGAGTGAGAGTGAGAGTGAGAGTGAGAGTGAGTGTGAGTGAGAGTGTGTGTGAGAGTGTGAGTGTGAGTGTGAGTGTGAGTGTGAGTGTGAAAGTGAGAGTGAGGGTGTGAGTGAGAGTGAGAATGAGAGTGAGAGTGAGAGTGAGAGTGATAGTGAGAGTGTGAGTGTGAATGAGGTGTGAGTTATAGTGAGATTTAGAGTGTGAGTGTGAGTGTGAGAGTGTGAGTGAGAGTGTGAGTGTGAGTGAGAGTGAGAGTGTGAGTTTGAGAGTGTGAGTGTAAGTGTGAGAGTGAGTGTGAGAGAGTGAGAGTGAGGGAATCTCGGATCCTCATTTGCAATATCTCGAAGAGGTTGCTTGAATTCCACGGAATCGGCAATAAACCTTAAGTCGAGCTGGTTTGAGGGTCTCTCAAACTCAATTCCATCACAAGATTTCTACAAGGGAAGTTGTGTAGCACTCTGATCAAATTCAGAAACAGCATGTTAATCTTCGTTGATGACATCTTTTTTTGTTTTTGTCGGCCCATGGATTTCCTTTCTCATTCGCTGGAAAATAAAGTAAGCTCGATAGACCGCCACTGACAAAATGCGTACATTCATGATGCATCTCTCGGCATGCATTCAACAATAACGAAAAGTCTTTGACCAGAGACACGACTCCAGTCCATGTTAATAATGATGGACATGGTCTGTGAGTTTCTTGTGGTATCTTCTCTAGTTCTCTTTCAGAATTTGTAGTCCATAGGCTTCATAACTAGACTTAGCCTCCTCAGATTCTTCATCCATACTTTCAATCTCGGGCTGGAATGGAGGGTACTGACGGAATTTCGAGTCTTTGTGCACGGACAAAAACCTTAGCTTTGTGCACGGAGTATAACACAAAGCTAATAGTCAAATGAAATGAGGCCTAAATTTGATTTTGACGTCCAAAAGATAGTAATTGCAACAACTTCCTATATTTATATTGCATTTAATCTTTTACCAGATCCGATAAATAAAGACAAGCGTTGACAAAAGGGAATCAAACTAAATACAATGCAAGTAGCCAAGTAGGATTCAATTGTCTGTTTTATAATCGTTACATGAATTTACAATTCTACACAACAATATACTTTGGGAAGAGACTTTATCTTAGTCTTTTTTTTTAATGTAGACCTTGGTCTTTTAAATAGCAGAGTTTTATAATTTTGATCAAACTTAATGTTTTGAAATGACAATGTAATTATTGATATCCCGAAGCAAGAGTCAAATGCATTTGTACGATAGCCAAAGCTTGTATATAAAAGACACCTTCATCCTTTAGCTTATAGATCACCAGTGTGTTCTGAATAATCTCTTTCCCTCTCCTACTTCTTCAGAGGTTATCTCTCTCTCTCTCTCTCTCTCTCTCTCTCTCTGCATATATGCTTTTAATCACGATAATGTTTGATCAATACATTCTTAAATAGTTATCTTCTAATAGTACTGTAAATGTGATGAGCATAGTTTTGGTGATTTTAGAGCATAATTATCTTCTAATAGTACTTTGAGATAACAATAGTTATAAATCCTCCCTTTTCACCTATGCAACTTGATCTTCTTCTACTCTGTTACTTCTTTCAATTTAAATTCTGTTTGATCATGTTAAATCCCACCCAAAAAAAAACAAATTATGTTTGATCCTTGGCTTGAAATGGTTTTATATTTCTTTGACAAAAAATTGCTATATATATATATATTTTTTTTTTTTTGAAACTACAAATGTTGGTGTTGAATCTGTTAATGCAAATTGTTGACTGAGCAACACAACACCTTTCCATGTCGCAAGATTCAAATCTATCCAAGATGGCCGAAAAGTTGGAAGCGCAAGGGTTATCAAATCCCGACAGTAAGTTTAAGTGGGACGATGGTTCAGACCATGATGATGTAACAAAGATATATGTACGTGGTGATGCTGAAGGCATACAGTTCATCAAGTTTGACTATTTCGGGACTGGACAACTAATAGATGTATCACTCCATGGGTTCTCTAATCAAGGTTTCACACAGATGGTATGACTTTGAAATATGTGAACTATATTCCCATTATTCGTCTTCATGTTGATAATATTGATTTTATTTTTAACAATTTTTTTTTTTTTTTTTTTTTTTTTTTTGCAGTTTGAGATTGATCATTTAAATGGTGAACATCTTCTGTCTGTTGAGGCTTACCACGACCACAAGGTGATTCAGGGACTTCAATTCAAAACGAACTGGAAATTTTCTGAAATCATGGGATATGCATATTCTTCATATAAGTTTACATTGGCCGTCGATGGCAAGAAAAATCATTGGGTTTCACGGATCTGCTGACGCCAAACTCAACTCTCTTGGAGCATATGTTACTTTGATCACTCCAACTAAATTGGAAGCGAAAGGAGGCAAGGGAGGCAACGAGTGGAATGATGGACCCGACTATGAGGCTGTAACAAAGATTCATATACGTGCTGGTGTAAAAGGCATACATAACATCAAGTTCGACTATGTAGACAAAGATGGACATCCGAAAGAGGGGCCAACGCATGGTTCTACCTCGGGTGGAGGTTTCACGCTGGAGCCGGTACTGTTCGTTTGCTCATCCAGCTGATCCATATGAGGCAGTTGGATGATGTTCGTTTTTTACAAAAAATGAGCATCATTCAAATGATCCATCCAGCTGCTTCAAAATGAGCATCATTCAAATCATCTGGGATTTAAAAAATTTAGGCTAAATTGTTAATATCCAGCTGATCCATCTAGCTGCTTCAAAATGAAGCATCTCGCTGAGCTATCTTCATTCCAGAAAAACAAATGACTAACATATCCTTAAAAATATATTTACAGAAGAATAAAGCTATAGATTATGCAAAACACCAAAATCATTTTTTTATATAAAAACTACAAAATCAAAAATATTCGTAAAATTATATTTCACGCCTAAACCGCAAAATTACGTTTTACCAAAAAAGTAAAAATAATGTTTTTTTCCGCTAAAACCGAGAAATAACATTTTTTCCACAAAAATTACAAGATTGTGCTTTACATTTTTTCGAAAAAGCAAAAATAAAGTTTTTTCCGCCAAAATCGCAAAATTGTGTTTTCTCGCCAAAACCGCAAGATAACAATTTTTCGCCGAAATCACAAAATTGTGTTTTACCACCATACAGCAAAATAACATTTTTCCGCAAAAATAACGTTTTCCCGCCAAAACCTAGAAAATGCATGTTTCTGGCGAAACCGCAAAAATTAATGTTTCCCACAAAAATCGCAAAATCACGTTTTCCCGCCAAAATCATGAAATCCCGTTTTCCGTCAAAATAACGTTTTCCCGTCGAAATCGCAAAATAACGTTTTTCCGCCAAAGCCACAAAATAAGTTTTTCCATCGAAATAACGTTTTTTCGCCAAAACCGCAAAATCACGTTTTTCGTTGAAATAATGTTTTCCCGCCGAAATCGCAAAATCATGTTTCCCGCCTAAGTCGCAAAATCGCATTTTCCGCTTAAATTGTAAAATCATATATTTTTGTCGAAACCGCAAAATGGCATTTTTCCATTTAAACCGGAAATTCCCGTTTTTCTGTCTAAATTGCAAAATCATGGGTTACTGCTTGAATCACAAAATCACCAAAAAAAAAAAGTGAAACAGTGAAATTACGTTTTCTGATCAAAATTGCGAAATCTCGTTTTTCCGTAAAAACCGTAAAATATATTTTTGTCAAAATTATGAATCACGCTTTATGACTTTGGATATTATTTTAATCAGAGATTGATATCATTAAAAAATAATTTAAGTGAAAGACTTATATTCGATAAAAAAAGATATGGGTATTTTGTTTTTTTTTCACTCAAATCAAAATAAGGATATTTTCGTCATTATCCATTAGAAGCATCTGAATGGTCCATCTGACTGAAGAAACAAACAAAAGAATCATTTGACTGAACCATCTGGCTGAATCATCCGGATGAGAGTAAAAAAAAGCGAACAACATCCAACTGCTTCATCTGAATGATTCATCTGGCTGAATCATCCAGTTGGAGCATCCAACTCTGCAAACGAACAGGGCCTAAAACAAAATTTTGTTTCCTTACAAATATAGCACACTAAGTTTAAAAGTTCCAAAATAACAGAAATTATCTTGTGCGAACATTTGTTTACCCTATATAAATGAATTTCAAACAAAATTATATATGTTTGGGTTTTACTTTTTCCAATTTAGAGTTTAGGTATTCCCCCTTAGAAAATGAGTTTTGAATGGTTTTGATATTGAATTTGTCTTATTAATAGAAACTCAAACTATCATGCTATTTTTGACCAAATAAAACTATACAATGCTATTTTTGGAACAAAAAGTAAAACGGTGCTCTTTAGATTATCGCCCATGCATAAAACTTTTTATATATAGCTTGGTGCATAAGATTTCTACTATTGCTGCCACTGAATTTTAGTTTGGGTTTCCTATGTGATTTTTGCGTGGGAATAGAGTTGTTAAAAAGAAAACTCCCATTCAATTTGAGTCCACAAATGAATTAACGTAATATGTTTATACCATTTTTTTGTAGTTTGAGATTAACCATGACGACAAGGAATATCTGATGTTTATTGACGGTTACTACAATGAGACTTCGGGTGTGATTCAAGGACTTCAATTCAAAACCAACATGAAAACTTCGGAACTGATGGGTTGTTACGATGATGAAACGGATACTAAGTTTTCACTTGGATCGAACAGCAATAAGATTATTGGATTTCATGGATATGCTGAGAAGTACCTTAACTCTATTGGAGCATATTCCACATCGCTTCCTCTAACTAGAGGTGACTTATGCCATAACAATGATACAGGCTACGTCTGGGATGATGGTACTTTCCAAGGAGTAAGAAAGGTGTACGTTTATCATGATGATTATTCTATGAGGTGTGTTCGTTTCGATTACGATAACAATGGCAAAGTGGAATCCCGTGAGCACGGGTCGAAAGCTGCGGTCACGGTACTAGAAGGAGAGGTCATAACTCGTAAAACTCTTTAAGTATTTATTTATCAACCATATCTATCTATGTATGTGTTCTTGATTCTTGACTAATATATAGCTTATATATGAAGCCTTTTTTTTTGTTGTTGCAGTTTGTCCTAGACTATCCAACTGAATTTCTCACGTCCGTGGAAGGGACTAGCGTATATCGTTATCCTCAATCAAGGATTACATCGTTTATTTTCAAAACATCAAAAGGGAGGGCCTCTCCGATATTTGGAAATGCGTTTAGTGACGATCAGCTTGTTAAATTTGTGCTTGAGAAAAAGGGTTGTGCTTTTGTTGGGTTCCATGGACGGTCTCTTTCTGCTCTTCTTAATGCTCTTGGAGCATATTTTTTACCAATGCCTCCTCCTCAAGATGGGGAGAAACTAGAAGAATAAGGTGGTGAACTTGTGAAGTGGTAATGGTGGTTTGGACGGTGTTTGATCATGTTATTTAATGGCTCTTATATATCTTGTATGTTTTGTTTCGTTTCGTACTTTCCCTGATTAATCCACAAAGCTCAGGGCTGAAGCCTATAGGCTATAGTCTTCTTGGACCGAGGACTAGAACTGAGTTAATTTGTCCCTTCCCCGGGGCGGTGCTCGAACATGAACCTCCAAAATCTTCCTTTGGATGGATGGAGGTTAAACTGTTTGTGTGCTATAAAGGACGGGTTATATCTTGTACTATATACTATTGTATTCTCTCGTGTTGTTTTGTTTGGTGTGTTTTTCTCAATCTCATTTTACATATTGGACTTTTTTTCTTATTAAAAATCAAACGTGCCAATTTTTTTCACAACAATAATTAATCAAGGAAATTACTCAAAATGGTACTCTGTTTCACAAATAGTGTCATTCTACTTTTTTTCACACAAGAAAATTAATAAAAACTCTGTTTCACCCTTTTATTAGTACACAAAACAATACACTCTTTCTAATTAATACACTATTACAATAAAGTCAAAATTTGATTTTTATTAATAAAACTACATTGGAAATGTAAAGTGAAAACAGAAACAAAACTTTAAAATGACATTCTTTGTGAAACGGAGGAAGTATTAATATATTGTAAAATTTCGTAGAATGCCATCACACATCTTTTACATGAAAAAGCCAGTTGTTAAAAAAAATTAATTTAATAAAGAGAAATATCTTAAACTCCCCTTTGATAAAATATCACAAAAATGTTAATAAAATATCACAAAATAAAATAACCTACAACCATTTCATAAACTATTAAAGACTAATGTAAATGGGAGATTTTAAATGTTTTTTTAATAATTGACTAATTCAATAACCTTGGATTTTAAATACTTTTTAATAATTGTTGAATCATTCCACAAAATCATTGATAAGAAGATTTGAAAAAGAAAAAAAAAATATTCCTACCAAATCACTGATCCAATATGGCCCTAGAAGTGTTCTCCACGAATGATGTTTCGAAGGATTGTTAATTTGATTCAAGATTTTAAAATTACACAAATGGTGTTTGAAGGATATTTTTTGTTTGTTAACTTCATATAGTCTTTTTTTATATAACTTGGGATGATATGGGCTTTTAACACTAACTAATGTTCTAAATGTAAATGTAACCGTCGATTAGCCCCTATTCATTTGGTTTTCTAATAGGTCTAAAGCATGACACAATTTCGAAGGGGTTAATAGAGAATGATTTAATTTAATAGTTTAAATCAAAATTAATATTTTTAATAAATGATATAAATTAAATAATTAATACAGAAAAATTCACGCTACGCACTCTCTACCCTCTCCTCCACCAACTTAGGTCAGCTCTCCCTACTTGCTTTTATTTACATAAACGTGTCTCCCTCTCTCTCTCTCTCTCTCTCTCTCTCTCTCTCTCTCTCTCTCTCTCTCTCTCTCTCTCTCGTTATTTTTTGGTCAAACGATTCTCTCTCTCTACTTGCATTTATTTACATAAATGTTTCATAGCCTTGCTCTGATGAACTTATCTAAACCTCAATAGGCGAACATAGTTTGAAAAAGGTAGAGAGCACTGATATCTGCAAATCCAGTTACTTGTTAGATATTCGTTGGAACTGCTTGCTTTTACACCCAAGAAACTAGGATCTTCTTCTACTGTGTTTGCAAACGGTCTAATTCCTTCATTTTGAAATTCTGTTAGATCCTCGAGTTGAAACTTGAAAGGATTTTCAAATATATATGTTTTTCTCTTATTGTCCAACCTTATGAAAACATTATTGTGTCTTGATGATATTACAAAGAAACATATAATCCCATGATCCATATCAGGTCCTACAAGATGACCCAACGGTTGGAAGCGGAAGGGAACAAATATCCAGAAAGCCAAGATGAGTGGGATGACGGATCCGGTCATGATGATGTAACAAAAATATTTGTACGAGGTTGCTCTCAAGGCATACAATACATCCAGTTCAGCTATATCAAGGATGGACAACCGATATATGGATCAGTCCATGGTTTTCCAGAACAAGGTTTCACTCAAACGGTATACCTTGGAAAGGACAAAATAAACTCTCATTATTTACTGTTAACGTGGTGATTTGAATTTGTTTCACCATATTATGCAGTATGAGATTAACCATCTAAGAGGTGAACATCTAGAATCAGTTGAGGGTTACTACGAATCCAGGTCAAATGTGATTCAAGGAATTCAATTCAAAACAAACCTGAGGATTTCTGAACTGATAGGATTTGAGAAACATGGGACTAAGTTTTCACTATCTGTGGACGGAAAGAAGATCATTGGGTTTCACGGATCTGCTAAGACAGAACTCAACTATCTTGGAGCATACTTCACATGGATCACTCCTACTAGACTGGAAGCACAAGGTAGAAAAGGAGGCGAGGAGTGGAACGATGGATCCGACCATGACGGTGTAACAAAAATCCATGTACGAGGTTGTTATGATATTATACAATACGTCAAGTTTGATTATGTCAAGGATGGACAAGATATATATGGGTCTGTCCATGGTGCCTCGAGTAGAGCTGGTTACACGCAGACGGTATGTATATATGACTTCGTCCTTGAGAGCAAAGGTTGTGCTATTGTTGGCTTCCATGGACGGTCTGCTGATGTTATTAGGGCTCTTGGAGCATATTGTCGTCCGCTGCCTCCTCTTCCTGAGGCTGAGAAACTACAAGCACATGGTGGTGATGGAGGAGCTTCTTGGGACGATGGCGGTTTCGATGGGATTAGAAATATATACATAGGACAGAGCGAGATGGGTATTTCATTCCTCAAGTTTCTATACCACAAGGATGATCAAGCGGTGGTCGGAGATGATCATGGGAGCAAAACCTTAACTGGAGATGATGATGATGATGATGATGATGATGATGTGCTTATTTCAGTTTTGCAGTTTGAGTTGGAGTCTCCGTGTGAATACCTGATATCGGTCGAGGGTAAATATGATGTGGTAGATGGAAGTGAATCCGGAATTATACGCATGCTTAGGTTCAAGACCAATATGAGAACCTCTCAAGTCTTTGGACTCGAGACAACATCAAACTTCACACTCGAGAAGGAATGTCACAAGATTGTCGGGTTTCATGGAAAAGTAAGTAACATGCTTACTCAAATCGGGGTTCATGTCCTGCCCCTTTCTGAACAAAGCTCGATCCAAACATTATCGAGCTAGTTTGATCATGTTCTTTAATGATCTCCTATCATGTACTCTTAAACGTATTGTTTCTTATGCTTTCTGGCGTGTATTTCCCAGTTTCATGTGATAAGTCAGTGTTTTTTTTTTTCTTCTTAAATAGTTACGGTTAGTTTACTTTTTCATTACGGAATATAAGACTTATAGAACAAGGAAACATGAACAAAACAAAAATATCCCTTTCTATGAGATAATACACTTGCTGAAACATGAATCATCCAAAATTCCAATAACGTAGGATTAAAAATAAAATTAAAACGGAGGAAATGAAAACAGAGGAGAAATAAAACAGAGGAAAAGAAAACAGAGAAGAGATAAAACAGAGGAGAAATCAAACAGAGGAGATATAAAACAGAGAAAAATAAATCAGGGAAGAGATAATACAGTGAACATAGGTGAATGAAGAGGTAAGGTGAAAGAGATCTTCTTGTCTAATTCCTCTTTTAAGTTTAACAAATTAAAACCCCTTCGGAGAAATCATTACCAAGAAGGAGTATAGTAATGCATCGTATTTTCATGAAGTATTCAAACTCTAATCTTTGTGGAATTTCAAAAGCAGAGTTTATAAAGCGGTTTTTCTAGATAAAACAAAAAAAAAGAAAGAAATGTAGTTACGGAGGCTATATAAGAAGAGAAGAAAAAAAAATTGTAACGAAACCAAACACACAGACAAGTGCAGCAGAAGCTTGATCGATCATCTTTTACATTAAATCAAGACAGGCCTCACTCCTGACTTGTATGCCAAGTATCTTTAGTTCCCATGTTTACGAAAAACATAAACACAAGACAATTTGTTCACTAAAAATATATTGTTGGTTGGGTCTCTAAAACCCTCTTGCCATTTTGTACTTGACCCCTTTTACTTTCCATGTGGGGCAATCTCTTCACAACAAACCCTGTAAAAATAAAATAAAATAAATACAAGTCGCAAAAAAGAAGTAATTAAATACATTGCGTTGACGAACTTAATTACAAGGCAAGTAGAGCTCCACTATCTCATATAACAATGTCCATATGATATTTTCTAAATAAATTTATTTTCATCAACCTGAAAATTTAAATGATCTAAGATGGCTATGTAATATAAATTGACCAACAAACCCTGAAGGAGTCTTTTATTTTTATTTTTATCGTCTGAATTATTATTTTAGATTTATAAAGTACTAAATATTATACATTTATAAAAGACCCAAAACCTGTATATAAACAACCTTCATCCGCTGCCAAAAGAACAAGAAAAACCTTCATCCTCCACCATTAGTGGTCAGCTCTCTCTCTCTCTTCCTTCCTTGTGTATATTTGTTTTTATTAACCCCAATGTTTATGTCCTATATTCTAATATATTCTATTGGAAACGTAATGAGCATAGTTTTAGCCCAATAAACGTGATATTCTTCTTCTCTGTTTCAGCAAATGGTTATTTTCCTTCAGTCTAGATTGTGTAATGGTTCTCTTTTTTATCTATTGAAAATTTCGAACATAAGGAAATACATGTGTGATGTGTGTATGGATGCGAAAAAATTGACTAAGCAACACAATACAACTCCCTGTCTCAGGATTTTAAAATCCCTTAGAGATGACTCAAAGGTTGGATGCGGCGGGGTCAAACAATGCAAAGACCAAGTATGTGTGGGATGATGGATCCGACCATGATGATGTGACAAAGATATATGTGCGAGGTGGTCTTGAAGGCATACAGTTCATCATGTTTGACTATGTCAAGAGTGGACAACCGAAAAGGTCATTTCATGGTTACTCCAAGACAGGTTTCACACAGATGGTATGACTTGGAAACATATGCTAATTTATCTCACTTCACCCGTGTGTTCTTAAAGATAAATATAAACTTTTATTTTCACCAAATGATTTTTCGCAGTTTGAGATTAACCATCTTCAGAATGAACATCTTGAATCTGTTGAGGGTTATTACACAGGCTATCCCAAGGGGATTCAAGGACTTCAGTTCAAAACCAACTTGAGGATATCTGAGATGATGGGATACGCAGTTGATGAAAAATTTACATTAGCAGTTGACGGGAAAAAAATCACTGGGTTTCACGGATCTGCTGAATATGGCCTCGACGCTCTTGGAGCATATTTCACAGAATTTCTTCCTACGAGATTGGAACCGAAAGGGGGCAAAAAAGGCACTGAGTGGGATGATGGACCCGACCATGAGGATGTAACAAAGGTTCATGTACGTGCTGGTGTAAAAGGCATACAAAACATCAAATTCGACTATGTCGACAAGGACGATCATATGAAAGAAGGGCCAGTGCATGGTTCTATCTCGGCTGGAGGTTTCAATCTGGAGCCGGTATGTGTGACCGATGAAATAAAATTAAACTTCCTTTATATTTGATAATAAATGTGGTTCATAAACTTGTGGTTTTCTTGGTGCATCCATTGTATCATTTCTGAGGCTCAGCTTTAATCTTGAGTGTGTGATGGGATTTTTAGAAAGAGAAAAAAAGTTCCATTTCACACACATATATATATATATATATATATATGGGTGTTTACTGATTTAATGCTATCTTAACTCTTACACTTGATGGAGAATCTGTTTACTGATTTAATGCTATCATGTTTAGTGATTTAATGCTATCTTAACTCTTTTTTTTTATTTATTTGTAGTTTGAGATTAACCATCTCGACAAGGAATACCTTTTATCTTTGGATGGTTACTACGACGAGACTTCTGGTGTGATTCAAACACTTCAATTCAAAACAAACATGAAAACTTCGGAAGTGATGGGATACGAGGAAAAGGGTACTAAGTTTTCACTCGGGTGCAATGGCATGAAGATCATAGGGTTTCATGGACATGCTAAAAAGAACCTAAACTCCCTTGGGGCTTATTTAACATCGCTTCCTCTTACAAAATTGGAATACAAAGGTAATAATGTAGGAACCCATTGGGATGATGGTACTTGGCAAGGAGTAAGGAAGGTGTACGTTTATTATGATGCTTTTATAAGGTGTCTTAGCTTCGACTACGATAATGAAGGCAAAGTGGAAACCCGTCACCACGGGTCGATGGTTGAAGTCGTTGGAGAAGAAGCTGAGGTCATAATTCCGACAACTCTATATATTATTTGACCGTAAATTTAATACATTTATAGATTATATGTGTGTGTGCTCTTGTTACTAAAAGGTTGGGAAACCTTTTTTTTGTGTTGTTACAGTTTCTACTAGAGCCAAATGAATTTGTCACTTCCATAAAGGGGAAATTTAAAAATTGTGGTCGTGGTGAAACGTGGTTTACATCGTTGACTTTCAAAACATCAACAGGGAGGACCTCCCCGACATTTGGAAATGTATTCGGGGACAATCTTGTTGATTTCGTGCTTGAGAGCAAAGGTTGTGCTCTTGTTGGGTTCTATGGATGGTGTAGTTATGGTGCTGTTCACGCTCTTGGTGCATATTCTCATCCGATGCCTTCTCTTCAAGATGCGGAGAAACTAGAACCACAAAGCGGTGATGAAGGAGCTTCCTCGGACAATGATGGTTGATCAATGATCATCTTCATCAAATTGACAAAGCTTGATCATGTTCTATAATAATCTTTTGACCTTGTGGTCTACTACTATCTTTTTTTTTTCTTCTTCTTTCATCTCTCTACTATCTATTCGCTCCTACGTTGTTTGGTATTTCTTTTTTTCAATATCAGTTTAATGGTGTTTGCAAACAAAAAACTAAGCTTCAGTTTTTCACATTAACAATAATGCGATTATATATCGGAGGCAACAAAAGCGTTTTCGTGGGGCAGGAACGGTTAAGACTACACAACTTTAGACTTGAACACAATCCATAAACAAAACCGAGAGACCAAAAGCAGATTTCAAAAAGTGGGTTGTCAAGAGGAAAACTAAAAGAAAATTAGTTAAGAAAGCTAGAAGAAAGGAAGATGGGAACGAAACTAAATTAATTTATAGTTTTTACATTAAATCAAGACATGCTTCAGTGGTTACTTGTACCCTAAGTATCTTTAGTTCGTCTTTCTAAGAAAAAAAATCAAACAGGTTCTTGGTGTTGAATTGAAGTCTTTTGGTTTCTCTGTTACAGCTGAGACTCTAGGCTTCACCAGATACTTACCAGTTACCAACGTATCTTAGGGTTCGAACGAGAATGTGATTCAAGAAATTGATTCGGCTGAAGGGAAGCAATCTATTAAGAAACTGATCGAGAATCGCAATCTACCTTTCCTCATCAATCTACCTCTGTATTATTTTCCTCTGTTTAATTTCTCCTCTGTTATTCACTGAATGGTAATTAGGTCATAAAGAGGCTTGATGATATTGTCAATGTTCCAAGTATGGAACCACATATTAGATAAATTTGATTCTTGATTTGTCCATGCAGGGTTTGACACATGGGAACTAGGAGGGTGACTTCCTTTCCGACGTGGAGATTTTCTAAGTGTGAAGTTAAATTAAATAAATACTAATATATATTTTATTAACTCGCGTGGCCTGCTGCTTTAACCACGAGGGTAATACAAAAATGATAAATTGAGATAAAGGTAGCCTCGCCAAACACGATTTATAGTAGTATATTCTTTCATTTGCTTTATTGAAAAGAAAATCATGTTGGTTATAATATAAAATATTTCAAAAGAGACAAAAAAAGTGTATAAATTGAAGCTTCATCCCCAGCCCAGAGGTCAAGTCTCAGGAATCATCAAAGCACATTGTTCATCAGCACCATCACCAGAAGGTCACATCTCTCTCTCTCTCTCTCTACCCTATGCAGGCTTACTTTTATTCACATCAATGTTTAAATCTATTATTGTAAAACGTAACAGTTTAATTTTAAGATTATAGAACTTGAATTATCCGCTGATTTTAGTAAATCCGTGGTAGTTGCAACTATGTCCTTTCCATCTAAGAAATCTGATCCATCCCAGCTTTGTTTCCGCAATTGGTTTTCTTCATTTCAGTTTAGGTTTTGGGTTGGTCTTTAGCTTGAATTATTATATTTTTATTTTTTGCAAAGTGGTGATGGTCTAATGGTTGCCGTTAGTCAATGTCGATTCTTCTCAAGCCTTAAATTATCTAAAGTAACCACTTCTTTTTGGCTAGTCGAAATGGTGTCTTGATTAAATTTAGGTTCAACAGAAAATTTTGTGAAGGTGCTACTTCACGGTTACAGTCACTTTTTCTAGAATTAGTCGATTGTCAAAAATCAGGATCACCTTTGGTCATGAAAATAATTGATTTTTTTATATAAAAAATTTCCTAACCTAAGGAAACGCATGTGGGAACGAATGCAGAGTATTGACTAAAAAACACAATACCGCTCCATATTCAGCTGAAGATTGATATCACTTCGAGATGATCCAAAAGCTGGAAGCGAAAGGAATCATGCTAGATGATATTTGGTTGTGGGATGATGGATCCGACCATGATGGTGTAACAAAGATATACGTACAAGGCGGCCCTGAAGGCATACATTTCTTTTATTTCGACTATGTGAAAAGTGGAAAACGGAAAGAAGGATCAATCCATGGCTACTTGGACTGTGGTTACACACAAACGGTATGTCTTGGAAAATATATATAGATTATTTACGAGTTATGACATATTTGATTATTTACATATTTTCACGAATTTTGCAGTTTGAGATTAACCATCTGCTGAATGAACATCTTGAATCCGTTGATGCTTACTATGACGAAAAGTCTTTTGCTATGCAAGCACTTCAGTTCAAAACCAATTTCAGGACCTCTGAAATGATGGGGTATGTTTTTAACTGCACTAAGTTCACCCTAGCAGTTGAAGGAAAGAAGATCATTGGGTTTCATGGATCTGGTGAGAGACGGAGACAGATCTTCTCTCTTGGAGCTTACTTCACTTCGACTACTCCTAATAGATTGGAAGCGAGAGGTGGCATGGGAGGCAAGAAGTGGGATGATGGATCTGACAATGAAAATGTATCAAAGATTGAAGTACTAGGTGGTGTTGAAGGCATAAAGTACATCAAATTTGACTACGTCAAGAGTGGACAACTAAAATGTGGATTAATCCATGGTGTCTCTGGTGATGGTTTCACACAGACGGTATGCATCAATGTTTGAGAGATTATGCTAACTATAGTCCATATATTCGAGTATACTATAAGATGTTATAATAACATTTTCTTAACCTTTTGCAGTTTGAGATTAACTATCTAAACGAGGAATATCTAGTATACGTCGAAGGTTACTATGATGATGCAACCGAAGTCATTCAAGGGATTCAGTTCAAAACAAACATCAATAGATCTGTTATGATGGGATATAAAAAGGGCAGGAAGTTCTCACTTGCAAACAAGGGAAATAAGATAATTGGGTTTCATGGATATGCGGAGGAAAGCCTAAACTCTCTTGGAGCATATTTCACTACAGCCACTCCTAATAAATTGGAATGCCAAGCTGATCATTTTGATACTGATTATTTTTGGGATGATGGTTGTATTTACGACGGCATAAGGAAGGTGTACGTTGATGTTGGTAATTATGATATAGCTTGTATTAGGTGTGAGTACGATAATGGCGGAAAAGTGGAAAACACTCAGTACCGGTGCGTTGTTGAAAATGAAAAAGAGGTGATCATTCTTTTACTATGATTAAGTAATTATTCAACGACCATGAATATATATATATATATATATATATATATATATATATATATATATATATATATATATATACGTTGGTTCTTGAGGTGCTAATACGATTTTTTTTTTTTTTTAATTGCAGTTTGTGCTTGACTATCCAAACGAATTTATCACGTCAGTAGAGGGGACTTTCAAAGAAGTGACAGATCACAGAGATCCCACGTGGATTAAGTCACTGGTGTTCAAAACATCAAAAGGGAGAACCTCTCCAACATTTGGAGAAGTATCTACTGGTGGAAAGTTTGTGCTGGAGAAGAAAGGTAGTGCTCTTGTTGGGTTCTATGGATGGTATTGCGGTTTTACTCTTAGTGCCCTTGGAGCCTATTATCGCCCGTTTCCTCCTACTCCTGATTCGGAGAAACTAGAAGCACAAGGTGGTGATGGAGGAGATTCTTGGGATGATGGTGCTACTTTCAACGGTGTTAGAAACATATACATTGGAGTAACCGAAAATGGTGTATGTTTTGTCAAGTTTATGTACCTCAAAAGTAGTCGCATGGTCTTCGGAGATGATCATGGGAACAAGAACTTGCTAGCTGAAGTCAAGGAGGTCAGTGATACAATAATTACCCTAAATTTAAAAGTTTATAGATAGTAACTTAACTGGTCAACTTATTATTATTCTGGACCTTTTTTGTTTTTCGTTTTGCAGTTTAAGTTGGAATATCCGTTTGAATATGTCACATCAGTGGAGGGTAATTATGATGATGAATCTGGAGTTATATCCATGCTCAGGTTCAAGACCAACAAGCAGATGTCTCCAGACTTTGGAGTCACTACAACATCAAACTTTGTACTTCAGAAGGATGATCACAAGATCGTTGGATTCCATGGAAAGTCCGGTAACATGCTTCATCAAATTGGGGTCCATGTTCTACCCAACGACTTTTAGATTTGTTCTTTAATGATCTCTTGCTTCTTCTTTTTTTTTTTTTTTTTTTTTTTTAAACTCTACTACGTACGTGTACGTGTTGTGTTTCTCATTTCGTGTGGCCTGACTTGTGTTGGGTTTCTCCGACAATGATGGTAATTGGTGTCGATGGTGGTTGATCAATGATCATCTTCATCAAATTGATCATGTTTTTAACCTTGTGGTCTACTATCTAATCGCTCCTATGTTGTTGTTGGGTGGTTCTTTTTCAATATCATTTTAATGGTTTTTACAAAAAGAAAAAACAAAATAAGCTTCAAATTTTCATATCATTTTTATGTGATTTCGGAGGCAGGAACGGTTAAGACTACACAGCTTTAGGCTTTACCATATTTGAACAAAATCCTTAAATAAAACAGAGAAACCAAAAGCAGAATTTAGAAAGTGGACTTTGTAGATAAAAACACAAAAGAAAGAATAAAGAGAATTATTAAAAAAAAGAAAAACTAAAGAATGAAGAGAAGAAGCAAAATGATTACGAAACCAATCACAAAGACAGGTGCAGAAGTTTGATCGATCGTAGATATATTTATAGTTTTAAAAAAATATATCTACAGTATTTGAATATATTAAACTCAAAATATATCTAGATATATTTTTCCAAAATAAGTATATACTATTTTTTTTTGGTTTTTAATTTATCTAATGCCAAGTATCTTTAATTCCCATGTTTACCAAAACCATAAATGCGTTGGCTCAGAATTATTTCGGAAAAACATCAACCACAAATTGAGAAAAATTGTTGTTTTGAACTTTTGATGTTTGATGTTTATCCCCAACCAACAATTTTTTTCATGTGGTGCACTTTCTTCACAACACAACTTCCATGTGAGAATATAACTAAATAAATACAAGTGCTGAAAGAAGGCATTAAATACAATGCGTTGACGAAAACAATTACAAGGCAAGTAAAGTTCCACTATCTCCATATAACAATGTCCATATGATATTTTCCAAATAGTTTTCTTATTGTCAACCGAAAATTTTAAATGATGTAAGATGACTATGTAATATAAATTGACCAGGCGACCCCGAAACCTTAGAGGGGGTTTCTAAGGGGTTACTGGGAGATGGATTTACATTGAACTGCAAAATTTTAAGAGTTATAGAATTATTAAATTTATAAAGAAATTATGTTAGATTCATAAACCAATAACAACGAATTCTTAAATTTTAAAAAATTCTTTAAAATCCATTTCCCAATAACCCCCTTAGTCTTTTTTTTTCTATTTGTCGTAAGAATCATATTTAAATATCTAAATTACCAGATATTTTACATTAATAGAAAGACCGAAACATTTTTTTGTTAAAAGAAAGACCGAAACATGTCTATAAATAACCTTCATCCACCAGCATATCTCCAACTCTCTCCCTCTCCACCATCAGAGGTCAGCTCTCTCCCTTCCTCTCTTTATGCAGATTTGCTTTTATTTACGCTAATGTTTTTGTCCTATATTCTTAAGTAAACTATTGGAAACGTTGAGCATAGTTTTTAACCCAATACACGTGATCTTCTTCTTTTATGCTAGTGGTTTTCTTATTCAGTCTAGATAGTGTTTGATATTGCTTGAAATGGTTCTTTAAAAAAAAGAATTACATGTGCAAATATTGACTAAGAAAAACAATACAACTCCATGTCTCAGGATTCAAATCCCTTAGAGATGACTCAAAGGTTGGAAGCGGTAGGGGTAACGAATGCAGACAAGAAATATGAGTGGGATGATGGACTCGACCATGACGATGTGACAAAGATATATGTGGGAGGTGGTAGTAACGGCATACAGTTCATCAAGTTTGAATATGTCAAGACTGGAAAAGTGAAAAGATCATTTCATGGTTACTCGGTTGCAGGTTTCACGCAGATGGTATGACTTGGAAATATGCTAATTTAACTCCCTTTATTCATGTTATTATAGATTATATTAGACTTTTTTTTTTTTTTGGTTTTAATGTTAAGAGATTATATTAGACTTTTATTTTCGCCAATTTGTTTCTTTTTTTTCGCAGTTTGAGATTGACCATAAAAAAAATGAACATCTTGAATCTGTTGAGGGTTACTTAGATTCATACGGGATTCAAGCACTTCGGTTCAAAACCAACTTGAGGATCTCTGAGATGATCGGGTATGAAACTGGTGAGAAGTTTACACGAGCAGTCGATGGGAAAAAAATCATTGGGTTTCACGGATCTGCTAAGATTCACCTCGAATCTCTTGGAGCATATTTCACAGAGATTCTTCCTACGAGATTGGAACCGAAAGGGGGCAAGGGAGGCATTGAGTGGGATGATGGAGCTGATTATGTGGGTGTAACAAAGATTCGTGCACGTGCTAGTGGAAAAGGCATACATAACATCAGTTTCGATTATATTAACAAGGATGGACATATTTTTAAAGGGCCAGACCATGGTTCTGATACAGGTTACAGACTCGAGCCGGTATGCATGACCGAGATAATTAAAAATTAAATTTCCTTTATAATAGACAACGACTGTGGTCTATAACCTTGTTGTTTCTCTAGTGCCAGCATTGCCGCCGACTGCCGAAGTTCAACTTTATATGTGTGTAGGATGAGATGTATAGGGAAAAAAAAAACAATCCACAAATAGAATATTGGATGTTTATGTAAGGTATTATTATCTGACCATTTTTTTTTCTTTTTTTTTTTGTAGTTTGAGATTAACCATCTCGACAAGGAATACCTTTTATCTGTGGATGGTTGGTACTGCGAGACTTCCGGTGTGATTGGAACACTTCAGTTCAAAACAAACATGAAGACCTCGAAACTGATGGGAAACGAGGAAACGGGTACAAAGTTTTCACTTGGGTGCAACGGCATGAAGATCATAGGGTTTCATGGGTATGCTAAGGAGAACCTAAACTCGCTCGGAGCTTCTTTCACAACGCTTCCACTTACAAAATTGGAACACGTGGGTATTGCTAAAAGACCCCATTGGGATGATGGTGCTTTCCAAGGAGTAAGGAAGGTGTCCTTTTGTTATGATCACTTAATAAGGTGTATTAGCTTCGAGTACGATAACGACGGCAACGTGGAAGCCCGTCAGCACGGGTCGAACGTTGAATCCAATGCACAAGAGGCAGAGGTCGGAATTTCTACAACTCTAAAAATTCGACTGGCCATATATACTATTATATGTGTTTGTTCTTGCTACTTATACGTAGAAAAACCTTTTTTCACAGTTTGAAGTGGACTATCCAAATGAATATGTCACGTCCATAGAGGGGAAACTACACAAGTATAATAACTATGATACGCTTATTGCAACGTTGACTATCAAAACATCAACAGGGAGGTCCTCTAAGATACTGGGAAATGCGGTTGGGGACAATCTTGTTGATTTCGTGCTGGAGAGCAAAGGTTGTGCTCTTGTTGGGTTCTATGGATCGGGTCAGTTTTCTAATCAATATTCTCTTGGTGCATATTCTCGTCCAATGCCTTCTCTTCTAAATGCGGAGAAACTAGAAGCAGAAGGCGGTGATGAAGAAGCTTCCTCAAACAATGGTGGTGTCGATGGTGGTTGAGCAGTGATCATCTTCTTCATCAAATTGACACAAGTTGATCATCTTCTTCAATAATCTTTTAACCTTGTGGTCTACTATCTTTCCTTTTTGTTTGTTTGGCTTTCATTCCAATGTGATGTACTACTCTCTATTCGCTCCTATGTTGTTGTTTGGTGACTCTTTTTTAATATCATTTTAATTATTTTTTTTAAAATAATAATATTTTCACATTTATAATAACATTTCTGCATTATACACAAAAATCATGCATAAAAAATCTTGATAACTTGTAAATAAATATATATACACTCTCATAAAACGTATTCTCTAGTAAAATATATATACACTCTCATAAAACTTCGGAGTAAAATATATATACATTCTCATAAAACTTCGGAGTGAATCCTTGAGAATACTTGACATCAGTGGAGGTTAGTTCTGATAAGGTAGATGGAAGTGAATCCGAAAGTTTTACTCAATCTTAAGTTCAAGACCAGCAAACGAACCTCTCAAGAATCCTGAGACATAGTGCTAAGATTCACTCCTCTGAATCAGCTGCTTAGCTTTCTCCTCTGAATCAGCTGCTTAGCTTTCTCCTCTGAATCATGTATTCAAGAATCAGCTGCTTAGCTTTCTCCTCTGAATCAGGGCTTAGCATAGTGCTAAGATCCCTAGCTACTGTTTTACCAGGAGGAGGCTTGTATGTTCTTAGCTCATATCTTAAGCAAGCATTGATCCATCTCAGATACACAAGCTGCTCGAGATCAGTGCATCGGTCGCCTTGAAGCTGCTCGATCTCCTTCTTCAGCTCTTCGTTCTCACTCCTCAATCTGTCACCATCTTCTCGTAACGTCTCAACCTGAAACCCAAGAAAAAATAAAGAAGTTCTTGAAATCAAGAATTCAAGATCAAGAACTTGTCTTTGTAGGAAAGTTCAAGAATTGAAGTACCGAAGTTCCTCAAGCTTTGAACTTGCTATGATTTGAACAGACTCGAGCTTATCACCCAGTTCCAAATTCTCAATATGTCACTTCGTGTTGGAAATTTGGAATCTCTAATCTCGTTGATCTCACTTTCCAAATCTCTTAACCTCTTCATCATCTTATCCGCATCATGATCAGGTAAAACAGCTTTAATCTCTTCTTCTTGCAGCTTCGACACTCGTTCTCTAAGCGACACGATCTGTTCAACGTGCTGCTGCGTTTTGATGTTCAGTTTCTTCTTTAGCACCTGAACCTGAGACTTAGCCTAAAATGGCAAATATATTAGACGATGTAATCGTATCTATTCAAATCCATCCCTTGACATAGTCAATCAAATATGTATAGATTAGGAAACTTCCTTATTTACGTGATACACTACTGTTATATACCTCACATATCAATAGACAAAGGCGTGGGACTTTACCTAATATCTTACAAAATATATTACCTCTTCTTTTGAGCAAGCATTCAACAAATATATTACAGTTAGCCATTTTAACAAAATAAGACCCGGCCGAACCATTCTCGGGAATATATTACAGCTGTTTAACAAATATATTAAATTACAGTGACGCCGTAGTAATGCATTGCATTGTCCATGAAATCCAACGCTCATGAAACCGCGAAAATTTATAGAACTCCAAAAGCAGAGTGAAAAGTAGTTACGGATGCTAGAAGAATAGAAGAAAGTACAATAGGAACGAAACCAAACACACAACAAGTGCAGAACAGCAGAAGCATGATCGATCGTCTTTTACACTAAATCAAGACAGGCCTCGATCAATGCTAACTTGTATGCCAAGTATCTTTAGTTCCCATGTTACCTAAAACCATTAATGCGTTGACTCGGAAGTATTTTCAAAAAATATCAAAGACGATAGAAATAACAAATTATTCAAAAAATTTGTTGGTTTGGATCTATAACCCTCTTGCCAATTTAAACAAATACAAGTAGTAAAAGAAGGAATTAAATATTAAATACCATGCGTTGACGAAAATAATTACAAGGCAAGTAGAGCTCCACTATCTCATATAACAAAGTATCCATATGATATTTTTCCAAATAATTTTCTGTTTGTCAACCGAAATTTTAAATGATCTAAGATGACTATATATGTAATATAAATTGACCAGGCAACCCCGAAGCCTGAGTCTTTCTTTTTTATTTTTTGTGGCGTAAGAATCATATTTAGATTTTTAAATGACCAGATAATTTACATTTATAGAAGACCGAAACCTGTATATAAATAACCTTCATCCACCACCAGCATACCGTACTATTTCTTCTACAACTCTCTCCCTCCTCCACCATCAGAATTCAGAGATTCAGAGGTCAGTTATCTCCCTTCCTCTCTTTATGCAGATTTGCTTTTATTTACGCTAATGTTTTTGTCGTATATTCTTAAATAAACTATTGGACACGTAATGAGCATTTTTTAACCCAATACACGTGATGTTCTTCTTTTCTGCTAATGCTTTTCTTATTCAGTCTACATAGTGTTTGATATTGCTTGAAATGGTTCTTTAAAAAAAAAAAAAACATGTGATATTGATGCAAAATATTGACTAAGAAACACAAAACAACTCCCTCTCTTAGGATTCAAATCCCTTAAACATGACTCAAAGGTTGGAGGCGGTAGGGGTACAGAATGCAGACAATAAATATGAGTGGGATGATGGATCCGACCATGATGATGTGACTAAGATATATGTGCGAGGTGGTAATCTAGGAATAGTGTTCATCAAGTTTGACTATGTCAAGGCTGGACAACCAAAAAGATCATTTCATGGTTTCTCGGAGACAGGTTTCACACAGATCGTACGTATGACTTGGATATATGCTAACTCAACTCTCTTAATTTATTCATGTTCTTATATATTATATAGACTTTTCTTTTCACCATTTTTTTCTTGTTTTCGTAGTTTGAGATTAACCATCTAAAAAATGAATATCTAGAATCTGTTGAGGTTTATTACAAAGACTATATGCATGGGATCCAATCACTTCAGTTCAAAACCAATTTAAGGATCTCTGAGAGGATAGGATATACAAATGGTAAAAAGTATACACTAGCAGTCGATGGGAAAAAAATCATTGGGTTTCACGGATTTGCTGAGTATAACCTCCATGCTCTTGGAGCGCACTTCACAAAGATTCTCCCTACGAGATTGGAACCAAAAGGGGGCAAGGGGGGTAATGAGTGGGATGATGGAGCTGACCATGAGGGTGTAACAAAGGTTCATGTACGATGTGATGAGGAAGGCATACGAAACCTTGGATTCGATTATGTTAACAAGGATGGACATATACAAGAAGGAGAATGCCATGGCTCGGATAATGGTTACATGCTAGAGCCGGTATGTATGACCTACATAATTTAAAAATTATATTTCGTTTATATTTGATGATATTCTTGCTCCCCAAGTTATTTCTAATAGATAACAATTGTTGTTTATAACCATGTGGTTTCTAGTGTCTGCATTCTATCATTGCTGAGGTTCAAGTTTATATTTGTGTGTGCATTGAGATGTGTAGGGGAAACAAAAAAACTCCCTTTACATTTCATTCCACAATTTTTTTTTATTCCACAAATATATTATTGGATGTTTATGCATATAATTACTGTTTTTTCCTAACATATTAATTTGTTGTAGTTTTCGATTAACCATCTCGACAAGGAATACCTTTTATCAGTGGATGGTTGGTACGACGAGACTTCCGGTGTGATTGAAACCCTTCGATTCAAAACAAACATGAAGATTTCGAAACTGATGGGAAACAAGGAAACCGGTACTAAGTTTTCACTTGGGTGCAACGGCATGAAGATCATAGGGTTTCATGGATTTGCTAAGGAGAACATAAACTCGCTCGGAGCTTCTTTCAAAACGCTTCCACTTACAAAGTTGGAGCACAAAGGTAAAACCAATGGATACGATTGGGATGATGGTGCTTTCCGAGGAGTAAGGAAGGTGTCCGTTCATTATGATGCTTATATAAGGTGTATTAGCTTCGAGTACGATAACGAAGGCTTAGTGGAAGTCCTTGAGCACGGATCGAAGGTTGAAGTCACTGGAAAAGACGTAGAGGTCACAATTTCTACAACTCTAAATATTCGTTCGCCATATGTGCGTATATACCTATATATGTGCGTGTTCTTGTTACTTATACGTCGGAAAACCTTTTTTTTGTTACAGTTTGTGCTGGAATATCCAAATGAATATGTCACGTCCATAAAAGGGAAATACGCAAAGCTTAGTGATGTCACGATGATTGCATCGTTGACTATCGAAACATCAAAAAGGAGGACCTCTCTGACAATGGGAAATCATGTGGTTGGGGACAATCTTGTTGATTTCGTGCTCGAGAGCAAAGGTTGTGCTCTTGTTGGGTTCTATGGATCGTGTAAATTTGCTGCTCACTATTCTCTTGGTGCATATTCTCGTCCGATGCCTTATCTTCAAGATGCGGAGAAACTAGAAGCAGAAGGCGGTGAGGAAGAAGCTTCCTCGGACAATGGTGGTGTCGATGGTGGTTGATCAATGATCATCTTCATCAAATTGTGGTCTACTATCTTTTTTTTCTTTTTCTTTTTTATCCTCTTGTGGTCTACCATCTATTCGCTCCTATGTTGTTGTTTGGTTGCGCTTTTTCAATATCATTTTATAGGTTTTTACAAAAAATAAAAATAAATAAATAATAAGGTGGTGATGATCACAAGATCGTACGTTGGATAGCTTCGGCAAATTAGGATTCAAGCTCTACCAACAAACTTCTAAATTTGCTTTCTATTGATCTCTTAACGCTTTTTAACCCCACTACGCGTTGTGTTTCTCACATTGTTTGGCGTGTCTTCCGAAAATCTCATGTAATAAGACAGTAAGCCAGTAATTGTTTTCTTTCTTTTTTTGTAGATGAACATTTAATCGAATGTCCTGTTTCAGAAAATGTGTGGTCTCGAGAGAGAGAGAGAGGGTCCATTCCAAATTCCATGGCAAAGAATATGTCTTACGAATCAAAGAGATGCTCAACACTTTCATGTTCACACTTGTAGAACAAAAGGTTTCTAAATTAAAACTTTCTTTTCTTCTGAGAATAAGACATGGTCCAATGTTTCTCAGCAAGCGTTTATCAACTTTCCCAAGCTGCAAAACCACAACCTCGCAAATTCACCGTATGTTTTGCTTCACAAAATTTACAACTCTGAGCTATATATCATTCACACACACATACAATGTAACTTTAGGCAATGGCGTGTTACAAAACAAGTAGTTTAGTGTTTCTACTTTACCGTCAGAAATAAAACGACACAGACTTCTTATGCAGCTTCTTCGTGGAACGAGATTTCTTCAGCGCATCTGCCAATTTATTCAGCTCTTTTTGATCTGTTTCCAAACAGTCTTCTTCTTCTCCACATATAGAAGAAGACTCTGCTGCTTCGCTCTTACGCCGCAACATCGCTATATGATTCTTGAACTCCTCCTCCTCCTCCTCTTTGCCACGCACACACATTTCAAAGTCCATAGAGTGCGCTTGTCGAAGCCGCCTTGGAGTCGAATGTATTGAAATTAAACTTGATTTTGATCAAGGTTTAATTTTGGGTCCATAAACAAATTATTATTAAACCCAAAATTAGGCCCAAGTTCTAGAACTCTCTAGAAACATCATAAGAGGTCATCACTTCCTCAAATTTTCTAGAGAATTCTACTAGATAACTCTCTAGATATTTATGTAGAACTTTCTAGTTCTTGTAAGACAAAAATCTAGATATTATGTTAGAGAGTTCTAGAGATTAGGATAAACTTGTAAGATAATTTGTAGAAAGTTGTAGAAGAAGAAGAAGAAATATCTAGGACCTAAGGAGGTTATAGAAGAGTGTAGAAACTTTGTAAGTAGATTTGGGAGGCTATAAATACCTCCTCACCCCCTCATTTGTAAATGCACAAGAAATTGAACAAGTTAATAAAGAGTGTTCTAAAGCTAAGTTCTCTCTTGTTCTTCTTAAAAGTCTTTCAAGTATTCTCTTGTGTTCTTCCATATTTCTCTTCATACTTAGAGGGTTTATTGTTTCTTTCGGGTTTCTCGGGTATTACGGTCTTGGGCTAGTGCTAAGCACTATCGGTGCTGGTTTCTCTACATGGTATCAGAGCCATTCTAATCTTGTGCTCATCAAGATCGGGATTTAGGAGAACTCGGGTTTACTCTAAGTATGGAATCAATGGGTCGTGTTGTTGGATTGGGAATGGAGATCTTAAACCAATCTAACTACCGGTTATGGAAGTCATGTATGGAGTCATACTTGGTGAGTGAGGACTTATGGGATGTCGTCGGCGGCAGTAGCACCACACCACCAATGGGAGCTGCTGCGACAGCGGAAGCGACAAAGGAATGGACACGGAAGAATGCCAAGGCGGAGTTTGCATTGAAGAGGTCAATATCCTCGGGAGTATTTGAGCATGTCTCAAGGTGCACATCCGCTAGTTCCATTTGGCAAGCGTTGGACCAACTGTTCAACAAGAAGAATGAGGCTCGTCTACAACTGTTAGAGAACGAGTTGGCGAATGCGAAGCAGGGGGAGTCTTCAATCTCAGAGTTCTTCATCAAGGTAAAGAACCTTTGCTCTGAGATTAACACTCTTAATCCGGAGGAGTCTATTTCGGAAGCTCGGTTAAAGCGGTCTATTATTCGTGGTTTACGACCCGAATATACACCGTTTGTGACTTCCGTTCAAGGATGGGCTACACAACCTTCCTTGGAGGAGTTTGAAAATCTGCTAGCTTCGCAAGAATCCTTAGCCACGCAAATGGCGGGAGTCAAAATCCATGATGACTCGGGGAGCGCTTTTGTAGCTCGGAGGCAACAGAGCTACAAAGGAAAAACCAAGAATGATGGTGTAAAGAATAATGATGGACGGGAAAGATCTTCTACGGGAGACAAGAAGCAGTTCAAGTGTTACCGGTGTGGAAAGCTTGGGCATTTCAAAAAGGACTGTCGGGTCAAGCTGAAGGAAACCAATATGGCGGAATCAAAAAGTCATACTGAAGACGAAGATTGGGGGAAATGTTTCACGGTGGAGGCTGCATCTTCAGGTACATCCACAACTAAAAATCTTGGAAATGATTGGATTGTGGATTCGGGTTGTAGCCATCATATTACCGGAAACGAGAAGTTATTTTCTAGTCTTCAACGTCATGACGGGAAAGAAGCTATTATCACTGCGGATAATTCAATCCACCGGGTTGAGAAGGAAGGGACTATTGTTATTGAAGGAGAAGAAGGAGGCCCAATCACTCTCAAGAACGTATACCATGTCCCTGGAGTTAAGAAGAATCTTCTTTCCGTGGTGAATGCGGTGGACTCAGGTAACTACGTTTTATTTGGACCAAAAGACGTTAAATTCTTGAAGAATATTCAAGAGTTAAAGGCGGACGTAGTTCACACCGGAGCACGGGTTAAAGATCTTTATGTCTTATCGGCCTCAAATTCGTACATTGAGAAGATGAGTACGAATGATAATGCTTTTATTTGGCATGCTAGGCTTGGCCATATAAATATGACTAAGCTGAAGGCTATGGTGAATAAAGATCTGGTTAATGGGCTCCCAAAGTTGAAGATTCAAGATGAAGGAAAGCTTTGTGAAGGTTGTCAATATGGAAAATCACATAGACTTCCATTTGACAATTCTACTTCACGATGCAATGCTCCGTTGGAGAGGATCCATAGTGATTTGATGGGTCCGACGAGAACATCCTCCTATTCCGGGTTCCGCTACATGCTGTTGTTCGTTGATGATTACTCACGGTACACCTGGGTATACTTTGTGAAGGAAAAGTCAGAAGTATTCTCCAAGTTTCAAGAATTCAAGGTTACCGTGGAAGGAGAGTTGGGTCGGAAAATCAAGACCTTAAGGACGGATAATGGAGGGGAGTTTATGTCAAACGAGTTTCTCTCTTTCTGCCGAAAGCATGGTATCAAGAGAGAATTTTCATGTCCATACACACCTCAACAAAATGGAGTAGCAGAAAGGAAGATAAGGCATCTAAGTGAGACGTGTAGAAGCTGGCTACATGCGAAGAATTTGCCTAAGGCTCTATGGGCAGAAGGGATGAGATGTGCAGCCTATGTCATCAATCGGATGCCGCTTAGTCCAAATAATATGAAGTCTCCTTATGAGATGGTTCATGGGAAGAAGCCAACAGTGAAACATCTCAGGATATTTGGATCTATCTGCTATGTCCATGTGTTCGACTCTCAAAGAACCAAGCTGGAGGCAAAGGCGAAAAAGTGCATCTTTGTCGGCTATGATGAACAAAGGAAGGGGTGGAGGTGTATGGATCCAGAGACACACAGATACACTGTATCTCGTGATGTTGTCTTTGATGAAGTGTCTTCATATTACGGATCTCCTCAAGTCTTGGTTGAGCAAGATGGTGCGGGCTCACTTAAAGACGATGAACCAGCTGCTCAGATACCAAGTGATGGTGGAATTTCTGAACCAGAGATGCAAGGTGAAAGGGGGAGCACTAACCAAGAGGAAGAGGAGGAGGAAGATCATGGTTCCTTGGCTAATCAACGACCAAAACGGGACATCGTTAAACCTGCTCGGTACAGAGATGAAAGGTTTGTTACTACTTACTCATGCTACTTTGCATCTCCTTTTGATGAAGAAGAACCATCATCTTATGATGAAGCAAAAGGAGTTAAAGAGTGGGAGACCGCAATGAAGGAGGAGATGGATGCTCTAAAGAAAAATGAAACTTGGGATTTGGTTCCAAAACCCAAGGATGTCCAACCCGTCTCATGCAAATGGGTGTACCGGATCAAGCGTAAGAGGGATGGAAACATTGATAGACACAAAGCAAGATTGGTTGCTCGGGGATTTTCTCAGAAGTATGGAGAAGACTATGATGAGACTTTCAGTCCAGTGGCGAAGATGACTACGGTACGTACACTCTTATCTTTAGCTGCAAGCTTTGGCTGGAAGTTATGGCAGTTAGATGTGAAGAACGCTTTTCTATACGGAGAACTTGATAAAGAAATCTATATGGAGCAACCACTTGGTTACATATCACAAGAGCATCCCGATTATGTTTGCAAGCTAAAGAAGGCTTTGTATGGGTTAAAACAAGCTCCAAGGGCCTGGTATGGAAAGCTTGCTCAGTTTCTTCAGTTTTGCGGTTACTCTCCGTCGAACTCTGATCCGAGTCTGTTCTTCAAGAAGAATGGAGGAGTCCACGTGGTAGTCCTTCTTTATGTGGATGACTTGATAATTACCGGGAATGATGAAGCGGAAATTGCTCGTCTGCAAGAGGATATGTCGATAAGGTTTGAGATGAAGATGTTGGGTGAGCTGAACAACTTTCTTGGTTTGGAGGTTGAAAGGATGAAGGATGGAATATTCATCGGCCAACATAGCTACGCAAGAAGGATTGTAGAGAAGTTCGGGGTACACGAAGGAAAGACACGTACTACTCCGATGGATGCGAACATCAAGCTGAAGCGCGATGAAGGATCCTTGCTACCCGATCCTCGGCCTTATCGTTCTCTTGTGGGAAGTCTTCTATACTTAACCATTACAAGACCTGACATTTCCTTCGCGGTTGGTCTTGTAAGTCGGTTTATGCAGTCACCAAGGAAGCCACATCTAGAAGCGGCAAAGAAGATCTTGAAGTATGTGAAGACAACTCTTGGCATGGGTCTAATGTACAAGTACAATGCCAAGGTCTCTCTCTATGGCTTCACGGATGCTGACTTTGGTGGAGATCTAGATGGTCGAAAATCAACTTCGGGCTTTGTGTTCTTGTGTGGAGACACAAGCGTTTCATGGTGCAGCAAGAAACAAGCAACGGTGTCGCTGTCTACCACTGAAGCGGAGTATAAAGCTTCGACGCTCGCAGCCCAAGAGTGTATTTGGCTTCGAAGGCTTCTTGAAGATTTGTTTGAGCCAATCAACAAGCCGGTTGCCATATATGGAGATAACCAAAGTGCTATCAAGCTGGCTAACAATCCGGTGTTCCATGCAAGGACGAAGCATATTGAGTTGGAACATCACTTCATACGGGAGAAGGTGCTTGATGGAACAATTGAAGCTTTGGAGGTTCGAAGTGAGGATAATGTTGCAGATATCTTCACCAAGTCACTACCAAAAGGTCAGTTCGAGTTACTTCGCTCGAAACTCGGGATGGTTGATAAAATCAAGTTTAAGGGGGAGTATTGAAATTAAACTTGATTTTGATCAAGGTTTAATTTTGGGTCCATAAACAAATTATTATTAAACCCAAAATTAGGCCCAAGTTCTAGAACTCTCTAGAAACATCATAAGAGGTCATCACTTCCTCAAATTTTCTAGAGAATTCTACTAGATAACTCTCTAGATATTTATGTAGAACTTTCTAGTTCTTGTAAGACAAGAAATCTAGATATTATGTTAGAGAGTTCTAGAGATTAGGATAAACTTGTAAGATAATTTGTAGAAAGTTGTAGAAGAAGAAGAAGAAATATCTAGGACCTAAGGAGGTTATAGAAGAGTGTAGAAACTTTGTAAGTAGATTTGGGAGGCTATAAATACCTCCTCACCCCCTCATTTGTAAATGCACAAGAAATTGAACAAGTTAATAAAGAGTGTTCTAAAGCTAAGTTCTCTCTTGTTCTTCTTAAAAGTCTTTCAAGTATTCTCTTGTGTTCTTCCATATTTCTCTTCATACTTAGAGGGTTTATTGTTTCTTTCGGGTTTCTCGGGTATTACGGTCTTGGGCTAGTGCTAAGCACTATCGGTGCTGGTTTCTCTACAGAATGAGCACCTGTGTTTGAGCTGCTCGGTTCGGACGAACCACCTCTCTCCTTCCGCTCTTCTTGATGATCTTTACCGTGTAAGATCTTCATCAGCTTATGCATCAGCTTCTTCCTCCCTGACGACTTCTTCGTGTTAGTACTTAGTCGTAGCAAACAAAGTGTCAACAGAGGAATCATCTAAGAACATTGAGTCAGTGATCATCGATGATGATTCATCCTGAGAAGATGACCATTGATCGTAATCAGTAGTATCTTCGCTATGCGCGTATTCAAGAATCAGTTGCTTAGCTTTCTCCTCTAGATACATAGATACATTTTTCTAATGCGAGTATATAATACCTTTTGTTTTGTGGGTTTTACTTTATCTAATGCCAAGTATTTTTAATTCCCATGTTTAACAAATCCATAAATGCGTTGACTCAGAACTATTTCAGAAAAACATCAAACACAAATTGAGAAAAAATGTTGTTTTTGATGTTTGATGTTTATCCCAACCAACAATTTTTCCCATGTGGTGCAATTTCTTCACAACACAACTTCCATGTGAGAATACAACTAAATAATTACAAGTGCTGAAAGAAGTAATTAAATACAATGCGTTGAAGAAAATAATTACAAGGCAAGTAGAGCTCCACTATCTCATATAACAATGTACATATGATATTTTTCAAATAATTTTCTTTTTGTCAACCGAAAATTTTAAATGATTTTAAGATGACTATATAATATAAATTGACCAGGCAACCCCGAAGCCTGAGTCTTTCTTTTTTATTTTTTGTGGCGTAAGAATCATATTTAGATTTTTAAATGACCAGATAATTTACATTTATAGAAGACCGAAACCTGTATATAAATAACCTTCATCCACCAGCATACCGTACTATCTCTTCTCCAACTCTCTGCCTCCTCCAGTCCTCCTCCATCAGAATTCAGAGATTAAGAGGTCAGCTCTCTCCCTTCCTCTCTTATGCAGATTTGCTTTTATTTACGCTAATGTTTTTGTCCTATATTCTTAGATAAACTATTGGAAACGTAATGAGCATAGTTTTTAACCCAATACACGTGATCTTCTTCTTTTATGCTAGTGGTTTTTTTTCTTCAGTCTAGATCGTGTTTGATATTGCTTGAAATGGTTCTTTCATAAAAAATAAAAAAAGTTTAAGGAAATACATGTGCAAATTTTGATGCAAAATATTGACTAAGAAACACAATACAACTCCCTGTCTCAGGATTCAAATCCTTTAGAGATGACTCAAAGGTTGGAAGCCGTAGGGGTAAAGAATGCAGACAAGAAAGCTGAGTGGGATGATGGAATCGACCATGACGATGTGACAAAGATATATGTGGGAGGTAGTAGTCGCGGCATACAGTTCATCAAGTTTGAATATGTCAAGACTGGAAAACTGAAAAGATCATTTCATGGTTACTCGGAGGCAGGTTTCATGCAGATGGTATGACTTGGAAATATGCTAATTCAACTCCCTTTATTCATGTTCTTGTAGATTTATATTAGACTTTTATTTTCGACAATTTGTTGTTTTTTTCGCAGTTTGAGATTGACCATACAAAAAATGAATATCTGGAATCTGTTGAGGGTTACCATACAAATTCCCACGGGATTCAAGCAATTCAGTTCAAAACCAACTTGAGGATCTCTGAGATGATGGGGTATGAAGATGGTGACAAGTTTACATTAGCAGTCGATGGGAAAAAAATCATTGGGTTTCACGGATCTGCTAAGTATCACCTCGACTCTCTTGGAGCATATTTCACAGAGATTCTTCCTACGAGATTGGAACCGAAAGGGGGCAAGGGAGGCACTGAGTGGGATGATGGAGCTGATCATGAGGGTGTAACAAAGATTCGATTACGTGCTAGTGGAAAAGGCATACATAGCATCAGATTCGATTATGTTAACAAGGATGGACATATTCAAGAAGGACCAGACCATGGTTCTGATACAGGTTTCAGACTAGAGCCGGTATGCATGACCGAGATATTTAAATGTTAAATTTCCTTTATAATAGAAAACGACTGTGGTTTATAGTTAACCTTGTTGTTTCTCTAGTGCATGCATTGTATCATTGCCGACTGCCGAAGTTTGATCATTTATATGTGTGTGGGATGAGATGTATAGGGAAAAAAAAAACAATCCACAAATAGAATATTGGATGTTTATGTAAGGTATTATTATCTGACCATTTTTTTTTCTTTTTTTTTTTGTAGTTTGAGATTAACCATCTCGACAAGGAATACCTTTTATCTGTTGATGGTTGGTACGACGAGACTTCGGGTGTGATCGGAACACTTCAGTTCAAAACAAACATGAAGACTTCGAAACTGATGGGAAACGAGGAAACGGGTACAAAGTTTTCACTTGGGTGCAACGGCATGAAGATCATAGGGTTTCATGGGTATGCTAAGGAGAACCTAAACTCTCTCGGAGCTTCTTTCACAACGCTTCCACTTACAAAATTGGAACACGTAGGTATTGCTCAAAGAACCCATTGGGATGATGGTACTTTTCAAGGAGTAAGAAAGGTGTCCGTTTGTTATGATGACTTAATAAGATGTATTAGCTTTGAGTACGATAACAATGGCAACGTGGAAACCCGTCAGCACGGGTCGAACGTTGATGTCATGAATGGACAAGAAGCAGAGGTCACAATTTCTACAACTCTAAATATTCGACTGGCCATATATACTATAATATGTGTTTGTTCTTGCTACTTATACGTAGAAAAACCTTTTTTTCACAGTTTGAAGTGGACTATCCAAATGAATATGTCACGTCCATAGAGGGGAAACTTGCAAAGTATAAATACGATACGTTTCTTGCAACGGTGACTATCAAAACATCAACAGGGAGGACCTCTAAGATACTGGGAAATGCGGTTGGGGACAATCTTGTTGATTTCGTGCTGGAGAGCAAAGGTTGTGCTCTTGTTGGGTTCTATGGATCGGGTCAATTTACTGTTCAATATTCTCTGGGTGCATATTCTCATCCGATGCCTTCTCTTCTAAATGCGGAGAAACTAGAAGAAGAAGGCGGTGATGAAGAAGCTTCCTCGGACAATGGTGGTGTCGATGGTGGTTGATCAGTGATCATCTTCTTCATCAAATTGACACAAGTTGATCATGTTCTTTTAACCTTGTGGTCTACTATCTTTCCTTTTTTTTTTTCTTTCATCCCCTTGTGATGTACTACTATCTGTTCGCTCCTATGTTGTTGTTCGGTGACTCGTTTTTCAATCATTTTAATTGTTTTTTAAATGATAATAAAGCTTCAATTTTTCACATTAATAATTGGAGTATGTGATTACTAGATATAGATATGGACCATAGGAGTCTTTAATACATTTATTTAAAATACCTACAGCTATTTATTGCAGATTTTGTTCTGATTGTGCAGTTTCTTGGTTTTGATAAAACATTTGTAAACATAATGATTTGTGAGATTCTTATTTGATAAGGACATTGTTCTTCTTCTCCACGTAATATTTTCTCCATGGAGTATTATTCTAAACGTAATATGAGATCATATATAGTTAGAAAAATGGTAGAGCACGAATGTCTTCAAATGTTATTCTTGGAACTTGGATATTTTTCTACTCTGTTTCGGAAAATGGTCTTCTTGCTTCAACTAAAACTCTGCTTTAAAACAAACAAATAACTCCAGAACTAGACATCGTTCAATGTTTCTCAACAAGCGTTTATCAACAACTTTCTCAAGCTGCAAAAGCACAATCTCCCAAATTCACGGTAGGTTTTGCTTCACAAAATTTACAACTCTGAGCTATATATCTATACGTATTCACACACATACAATGTAACTTTAGGCAATGGCGTGTTACAAAACAAGTAGTTTAGTGTTTCTACTTTACAGTCAGAAATAAAACGACACAGACTTCTTATGCAGCTTCTTCGTGGACCGAGATTTCTTCAGCGCATCTGCCAATTTATTCAGCTCTTTTTGATCTGACTCCAAACATTCTTCTTCTTCTCCACACATGGAAGAAGACTCTGCTGCTTCGCTCTTACGCCGCAACATCCTGATATGATCCTTGAACTCCTCCTCCTCCTCTTTGCCACGCACACACATCTGAAAGTCCATAGAGTGCGCTTGTCGAAGCCTCCTAGGAGTCGAATGAGCACCTGTGTTCGAGCTGCTCGGTTCCGACGAACCACCTCCCTTCTTCCTCTCTTCTTGATGATCTTTACCGTGCAAGATCTTCATCAGCTTATGCATAAGCTTCTTCTTCCCTGACGACTTCTTCGTGTTAGTCGTAGCAAACAAAGTGTCAACAGAGGAATCATCTAAGAACATTGAGTCAGTGATCATCGATGACTCATCCTGAGAAGATGACCATTGATCGTAATCAGTAGTATCTTCGCTATGCGCGTACTCAAGAATCAGCTGCTTAGCTTTCTCCTCTGAATCAGGGCTTAGCATAGTGCTAAGATCCCTAGCTACTGTTTTACCAGGAGGAGGCTTGTATGTTCTTAGCTCATATCTTAAGCAAGCATTGATCCATCTCAGATACACAAGCTGCTCGAGATCAGTGCATCGATCGCCTTGAAGCTGCTCGATCTCCTTCTTCAGCTCTTCGTTCTCGCTCCTCAATCTGTCACCATCTTCTCGTAACGTCTCAACCTGATACCACAAGTTCTTGAAAATCAAGAAAGCAAGATCAAGAACTTATCTTTGTAGGAAAGTTAAAGACTTTACCTCAAGAAGTTCCTCAAGCTTCGAACTTGCGAAGATTTGAACAGACTCGAGCTTATCACCGAGCTCCGAATTCTCCATATGTAACTTCGTGTTGGAGTCTCTAAGCTCGTTGATCTCACTTTCCAAATCTCTTAACCTCTGCATCATCTTATTCGCGTCATGGTCAGGTAAAACAGCTTTGATCTCTTCTTCTTGCAGCTTCGACACTCGTTCTCTAAGCGACACGATCTGATCAACGTGCTGCTTCGTCTTGATGTTGAGTTTCCTCTTCAGCACCTGAACCTGAGACTTGGCCAAATCAAGCTCGATCCCAGCTTTCGAATGCTCGAAACACTGAGCCTTGAGTTTCTCGTTCTCTGCTTGCAAAGACTTGATCTTGAGGTTGAAAACTTTAGTCTCCATCTGGTTTAGTTTCAGCCTGCTTCGTAGCTCCATTGCAATCTTTCGCTGTTCCTTGAGGTTGTAGTATTCACGCAGCTTCTCCTCGAGACATCTCTCTTTCTCACGCAACGCTCTCACCGTGTTTCTCAACCGCTTGATCTCGTTCTCGTGATCAGCTTCTTCCTCGCTCGGAAACGCTAAAGGAACAGAGAGCTCTGACTTTGGAGTCTCACATTCATCACCATAGACCAACAAATCTAACTTCTTTGCTTCCTCTTCAAACTCCGGTAGAAGAAACACATCTTTCTCGCCGGAATCGATTAAAGTCTCTTCCTTTTCCGCATCTCCATTCTAACAGAATCAGATCAAAATTACAAACTGTCACAAAAGGCCAAAACTTTATTGACCCCAATTAGTGTAATTAAGCAAATCAGAAGCCAAATTATCAATCTACAGAATCAGATCAGAATTACAGTAAATTGTCACAAAAAGGCCAAAACTTTATTGACTATCATTAGTGTAATTAAACGAATCAGGAGCCAAATTGAGTATAAGTCAAACTAAAAATAGCAACTTGAAGCACAAATTGTTGATGAGATAGAGAAATTATGAGCTTACTTCGATGGATTTATTGGCAGAGTCTCTGTGTTCATGATCTGAAATTGACAAAGGCCACTTTACGGATTAGACTAATGAATTGTGTAAATCAATAAAATCGTGTAATGCAATAAGAGAGAAGTACACAAACCAGATGATTTAGGTCGGAGAGGAGGCAAATTGGGTCTGATTCTTTTCGTTTGCTTTCTAAATCGAGAGACGAGAAATCCGGCGAAAGAAATGGCAAAGGCGGCTCCTAATTTAAGCACAAACAGATTTATATCTCTTTTGTGTTTGGGAATAATCATGGTTTCAGACAAAAGAAACCCAAAAACACTTCAACTGGAACCGAAATCAACTGTCATCGTCTTCTTCGTCGGACAACATCTGCAAGTTCAGATTTAATCAAAAGACAAGATTTTGACGATGGGATCAAATAGTCAACTATAAGATTCTACTCATTACGGAAAAACCAAAGAGCTGATCAAAAAGAATGAAGAGAAAAAGTTTCGATTTTTTTTTGTCCTTTGTTAATTGATAAGAGTACAAAAACAGAGTTTGATCTACCTCTCAAGACAAAAAGCAGAACTTGCAAAAGAACAAAACCAAATCAGAGTCTTTGTCTTATTACAAGTAAATAAACAGAAACAAGTATTGAAGAAGGCTCACCAGTAACGCCATAAACAAAATTATCACCAAAACGCTTTTAGATTTTCTCTCTAGGATTTGGGTTCCCTATTTTGTTTGCCCAAAAGAAATTATGGTAGGTTTTGAGGAGATACGTGTGAAAAAAAAAAAGAGATTTTGATTCTCTCTTGAGTGGGTGTATATCGCTGTCCGATGATCAAATGCGTAAATGTGATGCTCCTATAGAAATAGAGAAGGACGATTTTTGATTTGACGGGGAAGAATTTTGATGTGTTGGAGAAATATTGAACATAAGATGGATTATGGAGGAGAAGTCGATCACGAGACTGGTCTTTGGAGTCGAACCAACATCATCGCCATTCGCCAGATGCGTTGCAGTATCAAATAGTACTAAACAAATCATTTTATTAATTTTAATTAGATTTAATTGTAATTATCATAGACTTGCTCTATCCTGTGACTCGGTTAATTTGTAAGCTGTTTCGCTCTGTGGGATATTAAGATTTCAATTATATGTCAGTTTCATATGGTACCGTAGTCAAACAAAAACTAAATAAAAGAGATAAGTGAACAAAGTGGCCAAAGTCCATATAGAGAGAACTTGGGCCGCAAAAATAAATCAAATTCACATTACATGTAACATGAAATGAAGATAGTTATTATAGATCATATTATTTTTATGCAAACAATAAATAAAGAGGGGTGCAATATCAAGCATTATAAGAATGTTGTAGAAAAGTCTGAAATTGAATAATTAGCATACACAAAGGGTTTTAACGCTTCTAACATTCTGCCTCGCAAATTTCTTTGGCGTTCGGAAATTCTTTGATTCCCCAACATTTATTCTTGCGAATATCAGAGCAGCACCAACAGTTCTTTTTAAAATAGGAACTACCGCAAGGTTCTTTTGCACACTTTGGTAAAAAAAGCTTGCTGATCGGTGCCTCTTCTATCCCTTTAACATCTATCCTTCCACCTACACATCGGTTTGAAGCACACAAACAAAACTTCCAAGATGAAAACAAAAACAAAGAAAAAAAAGATTCGTATATTGTAATGTATGAGAATAATCTATACGTACACTCATTCAGAGCGAAGAGGGAGAACATGACTATGCATATTAGAGCTATATGTGATGATTTCATTTTCATGGTTTGGCTGATTCAGAAGACCGAGTTGTGATTCTTGTTGTCTTGTTGAGTGGTTGTAACTTGTAAATTATAAACACTAAACTTAATAAATACATATAAAAGGTAGAAAATTTTCTCCATGTTACAAATTTTATATAATACTTTTCCATATTTCACACAACGACCAAATCTTCATTTTCTATTTTCAAAATTTCCATTTTCAAAATCAACAACTATAATTTGCTATTGTACTGAATTAGTTTTTCAAATTCAATTCATGATGACATCTAATCTACATAACTAATAAGGCTTGGACAATCTCCAGCTTTGACACGTGGCACTCTTTTTTTTTTTTTTTTTTCGCCTAACACCAAAACGACGTCGTTTTGCGCTTTATTTTTTTTTTTTTTCGTCTTACACCAAAACGACGTCGTTTTCGTATTAAAAAAAAAAAAAAAATCTAAATCAAAATTATGTGTAATGCTGTTCGTTTTGATGGGCTTGATTATTTATCGGACCTCTTCGTTTCCATGGTAGCTTTAAATGGGCTTACTGGCTAATTAGCTCATTTCATTTCCTTTTAAAAAGGATTGCAATTATTATTATCTATGAGTCTGTAGGATAATAATCAATCTATAATGATTGTTAGTATAAGGAAAATTAGAAGAACTCAACTCCAGTCGATAAATTATTGTATAAAAGAACAAAAAACATATGAAACTATTCACTATGAGTCTATATAAGATTTCACGTAAATAACAACTAAATTTTAAAACTATATGAAAAAAAACAAAATGCAAAACTTACAGAATCTAATATATTCGAGTAAAAAACAAATGATATATTCGAATCTAATGTTCTGAATAATTAAATTAAAAATATTTGGTTTAATAAACCCGCGCATTGCGCGGGTTCTCTCCTAGTACATTTCTAAGTTGACTAAAAGTACTTCAAATGGCAATGTTTAAAAGGTTTCTTAAAAAGATTGGCAAGTCAGAATTATTAGCTAATACTACCATATCAATTACTTTTATCACTTTTCAATTCGTTCTTCATTTTCACTAAATTTACATGTTTCAATCAATTACCCTTTTTCTAAATATATTTCATACAATTACCAAAATTTCATTTCCCGTTTTTAAACTTTCCATTTAAAAAAATAAATAAATGGCACTGACATCTAATACATTTTTACTTTGACTTATAAAAAAAATGGCAATGTTTATTAAGCTTATTACAAAAATTGTGTTATCTGAATTTTTATATAATACTATCACTTAGTTTTTTTTCACCTTTTAAACCTAAATTATGTTTAATTCTTTTTTGGAATTGTATCTTTTTCAATCTGTCCCGAATATGACTATGATAATTAAACCTTGGTTTTCTTTGTTTTCTTACAGATCCAAATTGAAATAAAGTCATTTGCATTATTGGTGAAGAGGTTACATTCTTACAAACTAGTAAAGGATTAATTGGTTTTCTTTTCACAGTTAAGATCTATGTTTCTGTCAGTAAACTATCTATGCAATCAAGTTCACATTACATGAAACATAAAATGAAGATAGTTATTATAGATCATGTTTTATTTCTGTAGAGCAAACACTAAATAAAGAGTATAAGAGTGCTGTAGAAAAGTCTGAAATTGAATAACTAGCATACAAATTTTTTAACGCTTCTAACAATTGGCGAAGCAAAGTTCTTTGGCGTTTGGAAATTCTTTGACATTCCAACATTTATCCTTGTGAACTTTAGGTGTGAAGCAGCACCAACAGTTCTTTTTAAAATAGGAAGTACCGCAAGTTTGTTTCTCACACGATGGTATATAGATCTCGCTGATCGGTCCTTCTACTACCCCTCTAACCTCTATCCTTCCACCTACACATCGGTTTAAAGCACACAAACAAAACTGTCAGAATGAAAAACAAATATATATATATATATATATATTTATGTGTTGTAATGTATGAGAATTATCTTTACGTACACTCATGCAGAGCGAAGAGGCAGAACATGACTATGCAGATTAAAGGTATATATGATGATTTCATGGTTCCGCTGACTCAAAAGACCGACTTGTGATTCTTGTTGTTTTGTTGAGTGGTTGTAACGTGTAAACTGTAAACACTAAACTTAATATATACATATAAAAAAGTAGAGATATTTTCCATGTTTCAAATTTCATATAATATTTTCCATATTTTGCATATTTCAAATTTCAATGACCAAATTTTCATTTTCTATTTTCATGCAATGACCAAATTCAAATGGTAATGACATCTAATGCATTTCTAAGTTGACTACAAAATATTCAAATGGCAATGTTTAAAAGGTCTTTTTAAAAAGAGTTAAGTCAGAGTTATTATTCATCAACTTTAACATCTTTTAGCTCCATATAAAAAGTCTTGTTAGCATAAAATGATGTGATTTCATTTTATTTTCTGTTAAGCCTGGATGGAGGAGAAATTCAAGTCATACTTATCTTTCGTAATCATGAATCACTTCAAATACACGTTTTAGCCTTTTGGGGTGAGACTTCTGATTAAAAAATATGTTCTAACTGTATTTGGTACATGCAAAATAGACACTATTCTGCGTATCAATCTTAAGTTGGGCCCAAAATGTACTCACTCAAGTCTCATGCATAGCTTCACGGTTCACCTCTAAATGTTACTTTTTCTACATGCTTTGAAAAGCATAAAAATTAGTTTTTCTTCGTTGATAACAGAGAAAAAAAAAAAGCGAATCAGTAATGTCACGATAAAAAGAAAACAAATCTGGAATGTGTGTGGTTGGCGGTGTGTAACGTGTCGAGATGATTAAAGGTGAACAGTGTAAAACTGTCAATAAATAGAAAGTAGCACTACTCCACGACACTCGGTCACAGCTCTCCTATAACCTAAGAGTAACATAGCCTAAGGTCTCGATTAGCTTCTTTTGTCTTCGTTTTCTTGTTCTGGATTCTCGATTCACAGTTTTCGTCGACGTTTTCCATTATCTGATAAGATTTCAACCCTTCCTTTTGCATCCGATTATCCCGAAATATTTATTTTTTTATTTGAAGTGGTCCGTTATACCTTTCTATATACTGAAGAAAGGTATTTCGAAAACGTCCTATAATCCAGACTTTTTATGTGCATGTTTCTCGTATACTTTTTTGTATCATAGGCTAAAATCCTTTTTTGTTTTTTTCCTGATGATTTTCCTGTTTCTTCTCATTTGTGATAAGTACAAAAAAAGACTTTCTCGTATACCAATTTTTGTGTTATCCTCTGTTTTTCTTAAACAAGTAACCATTTTTTTGTTTCGTTTCTTGTTTCTTAGTGTGTTTTTGAAAAAAAAAGTTTGATTCTTTCAGGTTTTCTGAATTTAAGAGACGGAAACAATGTCCGAAAAACTGGGAGCCATGGGTGGTAACTTGGGAGAAACATTCGACGATGGTGTTTTTGACGGTGTGAAGAAAATAACTGTTGGAAAAGACCTTGACAGTGTAACTTATATCAAGATCGAGTACGAAAAAGACGGAAAACCTGAAACTCGTGAACATGGGACGATTCGTGGAGAACTTAAAGAGGTAATAAACTGTGACTTCTTTATTCTTCATTCTATTATTATTAGACCTTTTTGCCTTAATTATAATTATTGGTTGTTGTCTAATAAAATCCAGTTTGCGGTGAAATATCCAAATGAATATATCACATCCGTTGGTGGAAGCTACGAACATGTATTCAAATATGGAACCGAGCTGATCAAATCGTTGATCTTCAAAACTTCCTCTGGAAGAACCTCTCTACTTGGTCATAGGACGTTAAGTGGAAATCCAGATGTGGAGGAGTTCATGCTTGAGGGTAAAAATGGAGGAAAGCTTCTCGGTTTCCATGGACGTTGTGGTCAAGCTCTTGATGCCATTGGCGCTCATTTCGGAACTGGTTCTGGTGGAGGAAACCTTGCCTCTCTTCCCACTCCAGCTCCAGGTCTCGCTCATGTTGGTGGACCACAGAAGTTGGAAGCACAAGGAGGTAAGGGAGGAAAACAATGGGACGATGGAGCAGATCATGACGGTGTGGTCAAGATACACGTTGCACCTGGTGGTCTAGGGATTGAGAACATCAAGTTCGATTACGTTAAAAATGGAGGGACAAAAGAAGGATTTTTTCACGGTGTGAAGGCTAGAGGTTTCATTACAACGGTGTGTGTTGCCTTTTTTTTTTTTTTTTAAATGATATAATAGTCTTTTTATTTCATTAATATTTATACAGTTTTGATTTCTAATTTTGTTGAGGATTTTTGCAGATTGAAATTAGCCATCCCGATGAGTATCTTGTTTCTGTAGAGGGTTGGTATGACTCTTCCAATACCATTCAAGGAATCAAGTTTGAAACCAACAAAAACACTTCGGATGTGATTGGATATGGTTTTTCTGAAGATGGTAAACCATTTGCACTTCAAGTTAAGGACAAGAAGATCGTTGGCTTTCATGGTTTCGCTGATTCTCGTCTCAATTCGCTTGGAGCTTATTTCACTCCCATATCTTCCTCGCCATCTTCCATTAAACTTCCAGAAAAAGGCAGAAACGGAGGAGTTTCTTGGGACGATGGTGTTCATGATAACGTGAGGAACGTTTATGTAGGACAAGGCGATTCCGGATAACTTTTGTCAAGTTTGAGTACAATAAGGGGTTAGAGTTGCTCTCCGGAGTGGGTCACGGGAAGTCATTGCCCCGAACAAGAAAGGTGATTAATTACAGTTTTTTTTTTTTTCTCTACGTAACGCATGCAGAGGCCTAATTTTGTAGATTTCTTACCAAATGATCGAGAGTTGTTGTTGTTATTTGGTTTGTTTTGCCAGTTTATGGTTGATCCAGATGATTACATCACATCTGTGAAAGTCTACTACGAGAAACTATCTGGCTCGGAGACAGAGATTATAACAGCTCTTATATTCAAAACATTCAAAGGCAAAACCTCTCAGCCGTTTGGAATCACTTCACCGGATATATCCTTGCTTGAAGGCGGAAAAATCACCGGATTCTATGGAAGTTCAGGCGACTTTCTTCATTCTATCGGTGCTTATATGTCTCTCTCCTCTACTCCGATGTTGCGTGGCAAGTGGATTAAGGTACATTCGATTATTCAGATCAGTTTGGTTCCACATTCATTTTTTGGATTATTAGGTTTGAAAATTTCATATTATATACATTTTGGTTCGGCTTTGAATAACAAACTAATATAAATGGTAATAATATTTTTCAAAATCTTATAGTACTCCTATTAAATATTTGCTTTGATTATTGTTTCACGTGTGATATTAATTCTGTTATGAAACATGTGGTGACTACTATTATTAGGTGGAGCAAAAAAACAAGGGTCCTGGACCAAGATGCTCAAACGCTATAGCAATGGTTGGAGACAAAATGTACTCTTTTGGAGGAGAGTTAACCCCAAATTTCCACATCGATAAACATCTCTACGTTTTCGATTTCAAGACTCACACGTGGGCGCTTGCTCATCCAAACGGCGACGTTCCTGAACTCCCTTGTTTAGGCGTTTGCATGGTAGCCATCGGCACTACACTCTACGTCTTCGGTGGCCGCGATGGCCACCGTAATTACAGCGGTTTCTACTCTTACGACACGGTTAAAAGCGAGTGGAAACTCATAACTCCTGTCGATAAAGGACCTGCACCGCGTAGCTTCCACGCGATGGCTGCTGATGAAAAAAACATTTATGTCTTTGGTGGAGTAAGCTCTACGGTACGTGTCAACACACTTCATGCTTACAACATCGTTGATCAGAAGTGGACTGAGCTTCCGAATCCAGGAGAGTCTTGCGAAGGGAGAGGTGGAATGGGGCTCGCGGTTGTGCAAGGGAAGATTTGGGTTGTGTATGGATTTAACGGGGATGAAATGGATGATGTCCATTGCTTTGATCCTGTTGAAAGTAAGTGGACTCAAGTGGAAACAACGGGTGAAAAACCGTGGCCAAGAAGCGTGTTTGCGATAGCAGTTGTGGGGAAATATATAATAATGTCTGGTGGGGAGATTGATATGGACCCAATGGCTCATTTGGGTCCGGGAAAATTGAGTGGCGGGGCTTTCGTGTTGGACACGGAGAGTTTGTTGTGGGAGAAGCTCGAGGAAGGTCATAGCCCACGTGGATGGTGCGCGTCCACGACTGCATCCATTGATGGAAAGAAAGGGTTGTTGATGCATGGAGGAAAGGCTCCAACCAACGGTCGTTATGATGACATCTTTTTCTATGGAGTAGACTATGCGTGAGACCGCTCAGTGTTGGTGAGTTTGTGAGTTTTAAAAGTTGTGGTTTGTTACATCATGGGAGTGATCTTGTTTGTTAATAAGAGTCAAGAGCTAAGACTCTTGCTTGGTTTATTTCTGTGTGCACTTTGTTTTTCTTGTAATATAATAGCTTGAATCAATATGTGTGCGTTTCAGAATAATATAAGTGTGTAACTCAAGTAATGTTTTGTTAATTGACTTTCTTCCATTGGCGTAGAAACTTTTCACTATTGCTATAGAAAGAAAGAAAAATGTCTACAATGCATCGTAACAGTTTTTTTCTTGCCTTATAAGCCTAATATATAGTAACTAATATAATGTTAAACATCCATAAATCATATAATATCTGGGGAGAAGAGAATGAGTAGCAATTTTTTAAAGAAGAATTCCTTAAAATAGCACTAAATTTGTTTGGTATTCCAAATAACTTTATAAGTTTTATTTTTTCAAAATTATTATTTTGAACTAAGAGAAATAAAAATAAAAAATTAACAAATTATTTTTGAGATTTTAAAATAATTAGATTTGGGTTAAATATTAGTAGTTAGGGTTTATGGTTTAATTTTGAAGGTTTAAAGTTTAGTTTTAAGAGTTTTAATTTTGTGGTATTTTTGGAACAAAACAAATTTTGTGGTGTTTAAAAAAAATAAAATTAGGGATGACAATTTTGGAACAAAAATTTATTTTGTGATATTCTTGAGAATTGCCTGGTTTAAATTTATAAATATGTGAAGGTGTGGCCGCAGCGGTTTAGAAGGTGTTCGAGACATATTTCAAGGAACCTCACATGCCGTTAGTGTGTGACATGTAAAATCTCAATAGTGGAAATCCATGGAAACACCCAAGTACCCAACCTTGAGTAACACCAATTTTTTTAATTTTGCAAACACCAATTTCTTTCTTCTTCTTCTGTTCTGTCATCTAGAATTTTAATTAAATCCTTTATCAAAAAAAAAATAATAATTAATTAAATCAAAACACGGATACAAAGCCGCAGGAAAACAAATCCTTTATCTGAAAGCAGGAACAAGATTTTCTTTATTCAAGTTAAGGAAAATTGTTGACACGTGACATGCACCTAAAAAAAATATCATTTTCTAGTTGGCCAATCTGTGCCAAATATTCTTTTCTTGTTTGATAAAGTCCAAATATTCATGCATGCTGCATTGCACAACCGTCCATCGATCTTATTATCCTACATTCCTTATTAGATGTAAAGGACATATGTAATGTTTGGGGGTCCATCATTTTACAAGTATGATCTTTGTCGTTTTGTGTTAGTTAGAGTTTTAGTTGTTTACAACACCACGTTGAAAGCATTTCTCCGACGTTTATAGCAATTGTAACCAATTTCGAGAATCGCTAACTACTGCCACAGTCACGAGAATAATAAAAGAGTTTTTTAAGTGACCTTTCACTTTCACATTAGTTATCAAAATCTGTTAAAACAATTAAAAAAAATTGCGCAGTATATCTCAAAATCAACAGAGAGTACTTTAACAAAAAATCAACAGAGACTAAACTTTACACAGGGAGTGTAAAAAAGTTAAAAACTACAAAACGAGTGTCAATATATAAGGGAGTGGCACTACCCCAGATCCAACATAAATCTTACTCAAAGCTATTCTCCAACCTTAAGGTCTATCTCTTTGCCTCATTTTTTCCCACGATTCTGTATTCACATTTTTTTTGTCGACATTCTCTCTGTTCACATTATCAAAATAACATATAGTTTCGTCCTTACTTTTGTCTTATACAAGGTTTTTATCAAGCATTAGTTGTTTTCTATTTGATAACCGGCTCCCATGCATCAATTGCTGTTGTGAATTATACGTTTTATCAATACAAAGATATGGACAAGTATTTTACGGACTGAAAGGAAAATGTTAGCATTTAAATACGTCCTATAGTTCTCATGGGGGGTACCGTATTTTTAACAGTTCTATGTTATTGTACATGTTCTCCTACAGTTTACGAAAATCCAGAGATCTTTTTTTTTCTGACCATTTTCTTCTTTCTTAAGTACGTGAAACGAATAATTGAGTCAGAGGAGACTGATTGACATCGTCTATCATGTCAAAGTATTTCCCATTAATGGAGACTGATAAACAGTAATTCGATAGAAGAAAGTAACTATATGCATTAACTAACATTGAGACCCAAAAAAAACTATTTGTACTAACGTTTTTTTCAATTATGATAACTAGAAGGAAGCACAGAAAAGAGAAAGAAAGGATGTCCGAAAAGTTGGAACCAATGGGTGGTAAACTGGGAGAAGCATTCGACGATGGTGTTTTTGACGGTGTTAGGAAAATATTTGTAGGAGAAGACAAAGACAATGAGTGTGTATCATATATCAAGATCGAGTACGAAAAGGACGGCAAATTTGAAACTCGTGAACACGGAACGCTTCGTGGGGAATTAAAACAGGTAACAAGAAATATATTCACTTCGTTTTTGTTCAATCGGTTCTTTATCAAAAATTCAAACCCTAAAAAAGTAATAATTTGTTTGTTTTTAATGGAAAATGGAATCCAGTATGCGGTGGAATATCCGAATGAATACATCATATCCGTTGGTGGAAGCTACGATGATGTTAGTAGCTATGATACGGTGGTGATCAAATCGTTAATCTTTAGAAGCTCTTGGGGAAAAACTTCTCCTATACTCGGTGCGACAAATTTCTTTGGATACCTAACCGGGAAAGAATTCAGGATCGAGGGTAAAACTGGAGGGAAGCTTCTTGGATTACATGGACGCTTTGATAAGGCTCTTAATGCCATTGGACCTTACTTCAACGCTGTGGATCCTTCTCTTAAGCAGTTTAACCTTAAAGGTGGGGATGGAGGGGGTTCTTGGGACGATGGTGCTTACGATGGTGTTAGAAAAATACTCGTTGGAGTAGGTGATGACTATGTGAGTTATGTTAGTTTTGAGTATGCAAAAGGTGAAGGAACGATGACACATGATCATGGGACGAGAAAAGATACACCAAAAGAGGTATTGTTTTGATATACCAAAACAAATCTTGAATTAATTTTTTTTTTCTTAACTTTCTTTCTACCTTTGGTTTGCAGTTTGTGGTGGATTATCCTAACGAACATGTTACGTTAGTGGAGGGAACCACCGATCGCTACCTTACGTCGCTTCTCTTTAAGACATCAAAAGGAAGAACCTCCCCTGCTTTTGGAAAAGTGGCTGGTAGTAAATTTGCGTTCGAGGAAAAAGATTTCAAGCTTGTCGGGTTTCGTGGTAATTCCGGTAAATATGTCGATGGTCTTGGTGCATATTTTGGCCCTATTCCAGCTCCTACTCCCTCTTTCACAAAGATGGGACCGCTCGGTGGCAGCAAGGGAAACACATTCGACGATGGTGTTTTCGACGGTGTGAAGAAAGTAACGGTGGGAGCAGATGAATACAGTGTGACTTATATCAAGATCGAATACGAAAAGGACGGGAAAGTGGAGACCCGTGAACACGGGACGGCTCGCGGGGAGCTAAAAGAGGTGAAAATAAATATAAACTCATGACTGTTGTTAATATTCAGTTTATTTTTTTTTTATCAAACTTTAAAGAGGCTAATAATGCATTTGTTTCAATGGAAAATGAAAACCAGTTTTCGGTGGACTATCCGAATGAAAACATCACAGCCGTTGGTGGAAGCTCCGACCATATTTTCACTTATGATACAACACTTATCTCATCGCTCTATTTCACACTCTCCAATGGAAGAAACTCTCCAAAATTCGGTGAGACGAGTGGAACAGATTTCACTTTTAAAGGTGAAAATGGAGCAAAGCTTATTGGATTCCATGGACGTGGTGGTAATGCTATTGATGCCATTGGGGCTTACTTCGGAGCCGGTTCTGGTTGACCCCAAAAGGTTACATGATCGTTGGGTGGATTCCATGGAAATGCTCGTGAGTGGGTTCATCAGACTTACTTTTTAGTTTCCATGTTCTCTTTGATTCCGTAAAAATAATGTCCATGGTTTTGGACTTGTGTCACTAGAAGCTTTTCAGCTTTTATTATGTTTGTGTGTGTATGTTTTTAGGGTTAATGTTTTAGGCGATGATGGATGTTCGATGCCTATGGTGTGATGTGCTTGCCGATTGTAATAAATGATGTGGTGTTCTCCGCCTTGACGGTGTTATCACATAATGACTTTAATAAAATATGTTTCTTCTCAGTTTTTGATTTTGGTTACTCTGTGTTTATTCTTACAAGTGAAAAGATTTCAAAAAACAAAAAAAAATACCAAATTTTGTTTTAAATAATTTTTTATAACCAGCTTTTTTAAAAACAATGTCAGATACAAATGGGTATGTATGTAGTTGACATTGTTTTTATGTACATGCAACATATAACGTCTACGTACATGCAAAATATGACGTGTAGTTGGAGTGTTGGTAATGCATATTGCTTTCCTCCAGTCACTTTTAGACGCATTACAAGGATTTGAATCCGGAAGGCTAAAGCCTAAAAAGGCCTAAAGCCCTGAAGTTGAAAAAGGGAGTGTAAATTTTTTAATAATAACTGTATGCAATTTACACACTAATGCCTTTCTAAATACAGTACTTTGTGTAAATATACGGCTTAGGACAGATACAATTAAGAAATTCTTATCATCCAAAAAAATCTCCAATGCTGTGGTGTATTATTTGAAAGCTCTTGTTTCAAAAAAAAAAAAAAAAAAAAAAAAAACTAATTAGAATGTGTCGACATTTTCATATTTGTTTAATTGAAATACATAATTTACCATACTAACATTTTACGAAAAAAAAAATGGTTTACCATTCTAGTTGGGACCAATATGTCACATTATTGATGCGTTGATATAGCCGTCCATCTTATTATTCCAGACTTTTTAGCTGTCAAGCACATGTAGATGTAAACTGTTTGGGGTCTACCATTTTACAAGTACTTTGTCATTTGCTGTTACTTGGATTTTCTTTTGTTTATTTCACCACGTGGAAAACATTCCTCTGGCGCTTATAGCAAATGTAACCAGTAACCCGTTTACGAGAATCGCAACTACCGCCACTATCACGACTCACGAGAATATAAAGGCTTTGTATAGTTGAGCTTTCACTTTCACACTGTTATCAAAATCTGTTAAAACAGTAAAAGTCATGTGATAAATCTGTCAACACAAAAAAAAAAACAATGTTTTTGATTTATGTGATAAATCTCAATAGCGACAGAGAGTAAAATTCATATAGGGAGTGTAAAAAAACTAAAAATTACAAAAGGAGTGTCAATATATAGAGTAGCGCATGAACCCAGATCCAATATCATTCTCATTCACAGCTCTTCTTCAACCTAAAGGTCTCTCTCTCTCTCTCTCACTCTCTTTCTCTCTCAGTATGCCTCCTTTATTCACATTCTTTTTGGTCGACATTCTCTATTCACATTATCAAAATAACGTCCTTGTTTCTGTATTGTACATTGTTTTGCCAAGCGTCCACTGTTTTTTGTTTGATATCAGGCTATATATGCATCAACTAATTGTTGTTGTGAATTATACGCTCTTATGAATACCAAGATAATACTTCCCTTTTGTCAAAATACAAAGATAATACTAGGGATTTTGGATTATTACCAGCTAACTAGTAGGGTTTCTTTTCCTCATGATGTTCAATTGTAAAATTATTATTTCTTAACTGCAAAGATAACAAAAGGATAGAACATGTTTTTCAGTATAAGTATATATAAATACGTACAATAATAACATGTTTTTCAGTATAAGTATATATAAATACGTACAATAATTACTAAAATTCAGATATTTCTTTTCCTGGTGATCTTATTTTTAAGTATGTTATACGTATAACTCCTTCAACCCCAAAAAAAAGTCTTTAACTTTATTTAATTTTATAATTCAGTCAAAGGAGACTACTGATTGACATCGTGTTGGAAAGTATTTCCCATTATTGGATCCTAAACAGTAATTCGATAGTGTCAAAAAAAAAAAACAGTAATTCGATAGGAAACGTAAATAGCTAGAAACGGTCTTAACGTCATTTTTAATTATGATAAGTAAAAACGGAGTCTTATGTTACTTATTCTTCTACGGGTTTTCCTTTCAGGTTTTTTGTAAAATTCAGAGAAGGAAATGATGTCCGAAAAGGTGGGAGCAATGGGTGGTAACATGGGAGGACAATTCGACGATGGTGTTTTTGACGGTGTTAAGAAGATAACTGTCGGAAAAGACAATGATGACTGTGTATCATATATCAAGATCGAATACGAGAAGGACGGGAAATTTGAAACTCGTGAACACGGGACGATTCGTGGGGAACTAAAAGAGGTGATATAAATATCTTGACTTCGTTATTCTTCAATTAGTTCTTATCAAACCCTTAAAAGCTAATTTTTGTTTTTGTTTTTAATGGAACATGAAATACAGTTTGCGGTGGAATATCCGAATGAATACATCACATCCGTTGGTGGAAGCTACGATCATGTTACAAAATATAACGCAGTGCTGATTAAGTCGCTAATATTCAAAACCTCTTACAGCAGAACTTCTCCGATACTTGGTGCGACAACATTCTTTGGAAAACCAGCTGGGAAAGAGTTCATGCTCGAGGGTAAAAGTGGAGGAAAGCTTCTTGGATTCCATGGACGTTCTGGCCAAGCTCTTGATTCAATTGGACCTTACTTCTTCGCTTTAAATCCTCCTCTTAAGCACTTTAGCCTTCAAGGTGGGAGTGGAGGCAGAGCTTGGGACGATGGTGCTTATGATGGTGTTAGAAAAATACTTGTTGGACGAGGAGGTAAGTTTGTGAGTTACGTCAGGTTTGAGTATGCAAAAGGACAAGGAATGATACCACATGCTCATGGAAAGAGACAAGATGTTCCACAAGAGGTACTATTTGTTGGTATAAAATCTATGTGTAGTTTTCTGTTTATTGAGATGCTATATATTGAAAAAAACTTTTAAAATTTTGGTTGCAGTTTGTGGTGGATTATCCTAATGAACATATCACGTTAGTGGAGGGAACCATTGATGGCTACCTTACGTCACTTACGTTTAAGACATCAAAAGGAAGAACATCCCCTGCTTTTGGAAATGTGGTTGGCAAGAAATTTGTGTTCGAGGAGAAAGACTTCAAGCTTGTTGGGTTTTGTGGTCGTTCCGGTGATGCTATTGATGCCCTTGGTGCACATTTTGGTCCTCTTCCAGCCCCCGCTCCAACTCCAACTCCTGCCCCAGCTCCCGCTCCAACTCCTACTCCAACTCCTACTCCTACTCCAACTCCTACTCCTACTCCTACTCCTACTCCTACTCCTACTCCTACTCCTGCTCCTACTCCTACTCCTACTCCTGATCCTGCTCCAGCTCCCGCTCCTGCTCCTAAGCCTAGTCCTGCTCCTGCTCCATCTTCTACAAAGATGGGACCGATCGGTGGTGACAAGGGAAACACATTCGACGATGGTGTTTTCGATGGTGTCAAGAAAATAACTGTTGGAGCAGATGAATACAGTTTAACTTATATCAAGATTGAATACCAAAAAGACGGAAAACTCGAGATCCGTGAACATGGGACGGCTCGCGGGGAACTAAAAGAGGTAAACATTATAGAAAAAAATCATTAACTTTTGTTAATATTCAATTGGTTCTTAATTATCAAACTCTTAAAATGGCTAATAATTTGTTTGTTTCTGATGGAAAATGAAATCCAGTTTTCAGTGAATTATCTGAAAGAAAATATCATAGCAGTTGGTGGAAGTTACGATCACATTTTCAACTATGATACAACGCTTGTCACATCACTATACTTCACACTCTCCAGTGGAAGGACCTCTACAAAATTCGGTAAGACGAGTGGAACAGACTTCGATTTCAAAGGTGAAAATGGAGCAAAGGTTCTTGGCTTCCATGGACGTGGTGGTCATGCTATTGACGCCATTGGAGCTTTCTTCGAGACCGGATCCAAAAAGCTGTCCCTGTCCGAGAAGAAGGGACTGGTCGGTGGTGAAAAGGGAGACACATTCGACGATGGTGTTTTCGATGGTGTCAAGAAAGTTACTGTCGCTGCTGATGAATACAGTGTAACTTATATCAAGATCGAATACGCAAGTGACGGAAAATTCGATACTCGTGAACACGGGACGGCTCGTGGGGAACTAAAAGAGGTAAAAAATAAATACAAATTCACGTTGTTTTTAATATTTACTAATTTGTTGTTTAATACTAATGAAAAAAATGATAAAACAGTTTTCGGTGGACTATCCGAAAGAAAACATCACAGCCGTTGGAGGAAGCTACGATCATATTTTCACCTATGATACAACACTTATCACATCGCTGTATTTCACACTCTCTAATGGGAGAACATCTCCAAAGTTTGGTAAGACGAGTGGAACAGACTTCGATTTCAAAGGTGAAAATGGAGCAAAGCTTATTGGATTATATGGACGTGGTGGTCACGCTATTGATGCCATTGGGGCTTACTTTGCGACCGGTACCGGTTCTGGACCTTCTGGTGGACCCCAAAAGGTGGAACCACAGGGAGGTAAAGGAGGCAACCAATGGGACGACGGAGCAGATCATGACGGTGTGACGAAGATATACGTTGCAGCTGGTGGTCAAGGGATTCAGTACATCAAATTTGATTATGTTAAGAACGGAGGGACAAAGGAAGGACCTATCCACGGTGTGAAAGCCAGAGGTTTCGTTTCAACGGTGCGTTTAGCTTATTATTTTATTTTATTTTCTTCAATTCTACTTGTGGAGTTTTATATACTTTAAATGATTATTCAAGATTAGTGTGGTCTCTGGTTTTCTTGTGAATTTTTGCTAGATTGTGATTAATCATCCGGACGAGTATCTTGTTTCCGTGGAGGGTTGGTTCGACTCTTCCAATATTATTCAAGGAATTCAGTTTAAAACAAACACAAAGACTTCTGATTTCCTCGGATATGAATTTGGTGGAGATGGGACACAATTTTCGCTACAAGTTAAGGACAAGAAGATCATCGGGTTTCTTGGGTTCGCTGATACTCATCTAAATTCTCTTGGAGCTTACTTTGCACCCATCTCTTCCTCTTAGAGTTGGCAATGGAGGACCTTAAGCATGAAGGTTACAAGATCGTTGGATTCCATGGAAAAGCTGGTGATTGGGTCCATCTCTTTAGTTTCCATTTTCTCTTTTGATTCCGTAAAATAAGGTCACTCGAAGGCTAAGTAAGGTTTTCACCTTTTACTATGTTTGCGTGTGTTTAGTGTTAATGCTTTATGCGATCATGGGGATGTTCGCTGCCTTAAGTGTGTTGTTACGATTACCACACAAAAAAAAAAGTGTGTTGTCAGCTTATCTACTTTAAAAAAGGATGTTCTCTAGCATCTTTAATAATTGTTGTTCTTTATCAATCTCTTTTAAGACTTTGGTTATTTTTTGTTTATTCTTGCATGTGAAAAGATTTCAAAAAATAAAAACTTGATTTTCAAATAAGAGATTTTTATTATTTTTTTCATCAATTTTTTTTTCTAAAAAAAGCAAACATTAAACGGAAGAAAATTGTTCTCTTAATAACAGTTGTTGTTCTTTAAAAAGAAATACGAATTCACTATATAAAACTATATACGAACATTAACAGAAACAAGTTAATAACCTCTATAAAAATAAAATAAAAATCTTCTTAGAAAACTCCATTATTCTCAATCTTTTGAATGTATTTCCTTATTTTAAAATTTAATTATGTTTCTTAGAGATTTTTTTTTTTTTTTTTTTGGTAATCATGTTTCTTAGAGATAGTTGTATAGAGTTGATAGAACATAATTAATGTCCAGTCATAAATATATAAATTATCTAAATTAAAATATTTCATATGACTTCAAGCCAATATAGTAGTCCAAAGAACAAAGTTATTGTCAATAAATATTTTTTAAAATCTAAATTGATAAATTACATCAAAAATCTACAAATATTATATTTAGAAAACAACAAAAAGCTAAAAAATTCATCATTTTGAAATATATCAAGAGCGAGTACAATACTGTCTCTTCAATCTAATGTCCGAGAAAGATTTCAAAGGAACGCACGAGAACTGGATTCATATGCCACCGTCCGTATGTGACATGTAAAGTCTCAACTCTCAACAATGGAAACATCCTTCTGCAATTCTTTTCTTCTTAAACCCTTCTCCTTATTTCTATCCCATAATCTTATATGTTAGTAAAACCTTGTATCTATCTATCTTCACATCATAAAAAAACAAAACAAAACCCTTGGATTGGGCTCTAATCAACCTTCTTGGTTCTTTCGTTCTCCTCTCTCAATCTCTCTCTCTATCTCTCTCTCTATCTCTCTTCAATTCTCTACCAAACTTGTGATTAAAATTAATGCCTTATATTTTCTCTACCATTTTCTATAAGATATCCTACATAAAAATAAAATAAAAACAATGGAAACACACAACTTTTTCAAGTTAAGGAAATAGACATGCAAAAAACAAAATCGAACATCATTTTCTAGCTGGGTCCCATCTGTGCCATTATTCATGCATGCTGCATAGCGTCCACAGGAGCTTATTCACATTTATCATCAGCTGTCACGGACGCGCAAACTGTTTGGGGTCTACCATTTTACGTGTCTTTGTCATTCGACTGTCTTGTTTGGTGTGTGTATTCATGGTTTTTGTTTGTTTGTTACATACTTACACCACGTGGAAGATATTTCTCTCACGTTTGTAACAAATGTTAACCGTTTTCGAGAATCGCAAAACTACGAGTGGAGTAGCACTATCCCAGATCCAATATTATTCTCACTCAACGCTTCTCCATTCTGAATTTTCCCTCTCTCAGTCAGTGTTTCGTCTTATAAATTACTAGAAGAGCCAAAAAAATTATAATAAAATATAGACTTGCAATTTTAGAAATTCTAGTTGCGCTTGCAAATTATTATTAGAACAAACCCAGTTAGTTAATTTAGTAAAAGCACATACTGTATTAACAATCTAAGTGCTACTGTTTTCAATTTTGTGGGATAAATTAACTTCGAACATATAAGGTAGATAACACCTAGTAAAAGTTTTTTTTTTTTTTAACGATTTTATTGAAATGAAAGATAGCCATGACTATATGTCATGCAGTTTGAAACAGACAGTCTAATAGCTTAGCTTACAAGAAATGTAAAAGATAGAAAACCGAATCTTCCGCTTCGATTTTGACTTTGTTTAACAGTTTATAAGTGAAATCATTAGCCACATCCACCCCGGTTCCACCTAGTAAAAGATTAGTAATTTACAAGTTGAAAATTTATCTACTGTAGTTCCCTTATAGTGAATAGACATTTATGCTAAGAAATTCATAACACATAGTTTAAATAGAACATGACATGTTTTGTCACACGAAACAAAAATGATACAAGATTACATGAGTTAAACTTTTGTTCAATAGAAATTTAAATCCTGTGAGTCAGAAGCCTTTTTATTATAACCGAAAAATGTTATATACCATGTGAGAAAATAATAGTAGCTAACCTTATCCTGAAAATGGCAAGAAATTTCTTTTTCAAAAAAAAAAAAAAAAAAGGCAATAAATACATGACCATGCATTCTCTCTATTCTTGCAACTCACTCCCGCTTATCATTCTCCACTCAGGTATTAGCTCTCTCTCTCTCTCTCTCTCTAGTCACACAAAAGAGCACCAAAAATAATATTGTTTTATCGTTACACTGTTTACAGTATCAAACTGACATCGTACGTCGGATATATTTAAACCGGTTCGTTAGAAAACAGTACCTAGTTTGTATCTAATAATGTGTATTATTCTCTTCTTAACCTAAGTTTTATCCATTATATTATTATAGGTCGTGTATCTAGATGTCTAACGCACTAACGGTAGCCAATTAAAGATGTTAGACTAATTGCGTTAAATTTTATATAATTATTTTCAGGATTGTCTGACTGATCTTTGACCGTGCCACGAAGATGTCTTGGGATGACGGAAAGCACGCAAAGGTGTCCAGTGTTAAACTTACGCATGATGACGTCATCAGATCTATCGAGGTCGAGTACGACGGGACCAACCTTAAATCCCAGCCACGAGGCACCGCCGGCGCCAAATCTGACGGAGTTAGTAAACCGTAGTCTAATTGTAATTAATTATAAGCGTTCTTGTTCGTTAATTACATTATTTTTTTTCTTTATGGCAGTTCACGTTGGCCCTGGACGAATACATAACGGAGTTGACTGGTTACTACAAAACTGTATTCTCCGGAGACGTTATAACGGCGTTAACGTTTAAGACGAACAAGAAGACGTATGGACCTTACGGCAACAAAACCAGACACTTCTTTTCCGTTAACGCACCTAGTGGAAACCAAATCGCCGGTTTTCTAGGAACCAGTGGAGATTCTCTCAACTCCATCGACGTTCACTTCGCTCCTGTTCCTCCTCCCGGTAGCATCAAACCAAAACCTGATGGCCCCGGAACCAACACCGGTGACGGCGGATCAAAAACCGATGGCTCCGGAACCAACGCCGGCGACGGCGGATCAAAAACCGATGGCTCCGGAACCAACACCGGCGACGGAGGATCAAAAACCGATGGCTCCGGAACAAATACCGGTGATGGAGGATCAAAAACCGATGGCTCCGGAACCAACACCGGCGACGGTGGATCAAAAACCGATGGCTCCGGAACTAACACCGGCGATGGCGGATCAAAAACCGATGGCTCCGGAACCGGAACCAACACCGGCGACGGCGGATCACAGAATGGTGGCGCTGAAAAGACGGGACCGGTTGGTGGTGAAAAGGGAGACGCATTTGACGACGGCGTTTCCGATGGTGTGAAGAAAATAACCGTCGCCGCAGATCACAACAGTATAACTTATATCAAGATCGAATACGTCAAGGACGGAAAATCCGAAACCCGTGAACACGGGACCAATCGCGGGGAAGTAAAAGAGGTAATAAAAAAAAAAAAAAAATTGCTAATATTCAATTAGTTCGTTTTTCCTAATGGGAAACTAAAAATATATATATATACAGTTTACGGTGAATCATCCGAATGAATATATCATTTCTGTTGGTGGAAGCTACAATCACATTTTCAGCGATGACACAACGCTTGTCACGTCACTATACTTCACACTCTCCAATGGACGAACCTCTCCAAAATTCGGTAAAACGGCTGGAGACGAATTTCTGCTTGAAGGTAATAAAAAAGATGCAAAGCTTATCGGATTGCATGGACGTGCCGGTTACGCTATCGATGCCATTGGAGCTCACTTTGAGACCTCCAAAAAGGTGGGACCGGTTGGTGGTGAAAAAGGAGTCACGTTCGATGATAGTGGTTTCGATGGTATCAAGAAAGTAACCGTCGCAGCTGATGAATTCAGTGTCACTTACATCAAGATCGAATACGTTAAGAACGGAAAATCTGAAATCCGTGAACACGGGACTAATCGAGGGGAATCAAAAGAGGTAGATAAATATTACATATTTTTGGCTTCTGATTATTCGCTATTAATGGAAACTTTAACAAAATCTCTTCATATATTCAGTTCACGGTGAACTATCCGAAAGAAAATATCATAGTCGTTGGTGGAAGCTACGACCATATTTTCACGTATGATACAACGCTTGTCACGTCGTTATACTTCACTCTATCCAATGGAAGAACGTCTCCGAAATTCGGTAAGACGAGTGGAACAGACTTTCATTTCAAAGGTGAGAATGGAGAGAAGGTTCTTGGATTACATGGACGTGGTGGTCATGCTATTGATGCAATTGGGGCTCACTTCGAAATGAGTTCGAAAACTGTTGAACCGGGAACCAACCCCGGTGACAGCAGTTCTAAACCTGATGGAACCGGAAATACGGGACCGGTTGGTGGTGACAAGGGAGACACATTCGACGATATTGGTTTTGATGGTGTGAGGAAAGTAAGTGTTGCTGCTGATGAATACAGTGTAACTTATATCAAGATCGAATACGCAAAGAACGGAAAATTCGAAACCGTTGAACACGGGACTAATCGCGGGGAATTAAAAGAGGTAAAAGTAAATAAATTCTAAATTTTTTTGTTAGTATTCAAATTGGTTCGTTAATATTAATAACTAGTTATTATATGTATAGTTTTCGGTGGATTATCCGAAAGAAAACATCGTAGCCGTTGGAGGAAGCTACGATCATATTTTCACCTATGATACAACGCTTGTCACGTCGCTGTATTTCACACTCTCCAATGGAAGAACCTCTCCAAAGTTTGGTAAGACTAGTGGAACAGAGTTCAGTTTCAAAGGGGAAAATGGAGCAACGCTTGTTGGATTACATGGACGTGGTGGTCACGCTATTGATGCCATTGGGGCTCACTTCAAAACCGCTTCGGTTGGACCCGAAAAGGTGGAACCACAAGGAGGGAAGGGAGGCAATCAATGGGACGATGGAGCAGATCACGACGGTGTGGTCAAGATACACGTTGCAGCTGGTGGTCTAGGGATTGAGAACATCAAGTTCGATTATGTTAAGAACGGAGAGAGTAAGGAAGGATCTTTGCATGGTGTGAAGGCTAGAGCTTTCCCTTCAACGGTGCGTGTTGCTTTCTCCTTTTTTTTCTGTTTTCCTCTTCAATGCTACATTTCTATCTTGGTACTATATGAATGCTTATTCAAGATTAGTGACATTTTGATTTTTTTTTTGTGGATTTTGGCTAGATTGTGATTAATCATCCGAACGAGTATCTTGTTTCCGTGGAGGGTTGGTTCGACTCTTCCAATGTTATCCAAGGAATTCAGTTTAAAACCAACACAAAGACTTCTGAATATTATGGATATGAATTTGGTGGAGATGGAACAAAGTTTTCACTACAAGTTAAGGACAAAAAGATTATCGGGTTTCTTGGGTTCGCTGGTTCTCATCTCAATTCTCTTGGAGCTTATTTTGCACCCATCTAGTGGGCAATGGAGGAAGCTTGCAAGATCGTTGGGTTCCATGGAAAAGCTGGTGATTTGGTTTATTAAATCGGAGTCCATTTAGTGCCCTTTATCACCGATTACAAGCTCACTCTTTCGTTTCCTTTTTCTCTTTGCTTCCGTAAAATAAGGCCAAGCTTTTGGATTTGTGTCACTTGAAGCTTTTCAGCTTTTACTAAGTTTGTGTGTGTGTGTGTGTGTGTGTGTGTGTGTGTGTTTGTGTGTGTGTGTATGTATGTATGTTTTAGTGTTATGTTTTTTACGATGATGGATGTTCAATGCCTTGATCGTGTGTTGTGCTTGCCGTTTGTAATAAATGATCCTTTTAAATGAATAAAAATTGAGTGTTTGTTTTCAATCTCTTTTTAAGACTTTGTTCATTCTTGCGTTTGAAAATATTTTGAGTTTCCTGACAAGCAAACGAAAAGATCGTTCTATTGGCGTTTGGCGTTTTTCCTTGTACCAATAACAAAAAAAAAGTGTATTAACTATTTCTTTGACCCTTGCTTTGGTGAATTAAACTTGTGATCTTCTTTGTGATCCTTGTGATTGTTCTTTCAATGTCAAACTTAGGAAGTATGTTCTTTCATATACCAAGTAAAGTTCTGTGAACAAACTGAACATGACAAAGTTACCAATGTTAGCCTAAATATTTAATATTCAACTGCTATGGTCACACAAGATGAATGATTACATGGTACACCATTCAACTACCACTTCCCGCGCAGCCACACGGTTTCAACCCATATCTACATGATAAGAACAACCACGAAAGTCTACCTCATGCAAATTAATTCACTAGTGGACATGTATCTTATGCAATCCTTATACTTCTCAATCGCTCATTCAATTTCAGCATGTGCACCTTTTATGAACCTTGTACTATATCAAGTATCAATCGCTTATTCAATTTCAGCATGTGCACTTCTAATGATCCTTGTCATTTAATTAATTGCAATAATAGACCTCCATGCATTAGACCATCTCCATCCCTAAAACCAAATTTTTGGTTCTAAACAATTTTTTATTATTAATTTTCACATAAATCAATGTTAAAAACTTTTGTGTGGGTTGTTAATTATTTCTTCCCTCCATCGCTAAAACTTTTTCTTTGGTTCTTAACAAAAAAATTTCATAACTTTTGAATCAAGTCATAACAAATAACAAAGAAGAGATTTGGGTATTGCGGCATTGGGAGAGAAGAGATTTGGATATTAACCACCTCCTTTTTTCTTGGACCCTTTCAACAATTCATCAACTACCTCATGTACGATGGACTCATCAACAAGCCGATGGAGATATTGTGGGAATGTTGAGGTGATCCAAAGCCGCTTTTATCTCAATCATGATTCTCAAAGGCACATAGGAATCTGCTGCTTAAGCTTCAACCACAGCTCAAAAAACTGAGTCGATATTATGCTTCTAGAGAATGTCTTGTATGAGGCCTGAGTAAGAGTGAAAACACAAAACTTTTAGCAACTCAAGAGAATCCATTCAAGATTAGGTGATTTTTTCAGCAAAAGAATCATATTCTACTTATTTAGAAAGCACAATTTCCTCATATGAAAGAATGACACTTTTAGCGCTTCTTCCAAAACAGAGAAAACTCAAACAACAAGTCCTAATTGACCGAAAATGTTAATCTCATCGGCTTGTGAGCTCTCAGTCTCATCAATCAACGCAACAACTTTGGTTAAAGAACCATTCCCACCAAATCCCTTGATCACAGTATTGTAAGATGCAATATCTGGTTCATGGAGAGTTTACCTGACAACTCTTTGAAGATGCCTTCAACCAAATCGAAATTTTTGGCGTTCACACACGGATTCAGCAAAGTTGAAAGACAAGACTGTTCTCTTGCAGTTTCTCTCAGGCATTTCGTCGAACACTTTCTGCGCGTGTTCAAACATACCGGCTTGTCCGTAGAGATTGATAATCCTCACGATAAATCCTTCCTTTGACATGTTGTGGTACTTCTTCTGCTCTTCCAGTATCTCCTCGATCCACTCAAACATCTTGGCCGCGGTAAGACGTCGTACGGTTCGCCGGAAACAAATTTGGAGGAGAGAGAGAAGAGAAAAATTGATTTTTCTCTTTTTGTTTTTATTTTCAAAAGGCAAATTAATGTGGTGCCAACGCGTGTCAGGTTCTTAATCTAAGAGAAGGAGCTAACCCAAGACTCAGATTTAGTATTTTGTTTGATTAAATCTTTATTTAAATCAGTTATTTTCTTTAAAACCCTCTTTAAATCCAGGGATGGATTGAGATGCCCTTATGCACCATACATTTTCTCCAAATATCCTATAGTAAGTCAAGTAAATGGTCTCCTAGCTTCACGAATGGTTATGGTGAAATCCCGAGATTGGGCCAATCCCATACATTGGGCCAAAGTCTCACTTCTTGTGTTATAAGAGATTGGGCCAAGCCCATAAATTCAAGTAGATGCTCGATCGAATAAACTAAAGCAAAACAAAAGAAAAACTGCGACCATTCTCCGTCTCTCTCACCTCCCAAATTTCATCAGCCTCAACCTCTCTCTTCCGTCGACTCGGTACTCATTTTTCTCCCCCGATTTAGGGTTTCGCAGTCGCCATGTATCGCACGGCAGCTTCTCGAGCCAGAGCTCTTAAGGTCTGTACCTAACCTTTTCCGATTTCACTATCTATTTACTTCTGTAGAGCTTCTCGAACGTTCGTGTAGGGAAAGATTTGTCCGATTTTAGTGATTTTTCGTTTGCACTCTCAGAAATTTCATAGATCTGGATTCAAAATTTTCCACTTCATTGCCAGAGATGACGGCAATGTAATTAAATCTCTAAGTTTATAGAATGAGAGTTTTTTCTTTGTTTCGTAATTTCTATAAGTCAATCCAATTGCTATAGATTCGACTAAGAGAAATGAGCTTCTATTTGATTCTTTTATCGGAGATCATGAATTTGTTAGTATGGCGATCAAATGATGATTTTTTATTTCCGTCAATTCTTCTGATTTTCATTGATTGAGGCACAAAGACGAAATTGTTTCTTGTTGTGACGTATCGCGTTTTCGTGGTTTATAGGGATCTCTTAGCCGCGGTTTGAGACCGGTGCGTTATGCGAGTTCTAGTGCTGTTGCGACGAGTTCTTCTCCATCAGGTGGCTTCATGAGCTGGTTGGTTGGTTCCTCTGGTTCAATTACTTCACTGGATATGCCACTAGAAGGAGTGTCTCTTCCTCCGCCACTACCTGACCACGTCGAGCCGAGCAAACTCAAGATCACTACTCTTCCAAATGGTCTCAAAATTGCCTCAGAGATGTCTCCGGTAAAAAATAAAAAAACTAACCTTTACGTCTGATGTTATCTGAAAAGATCTGTGGAAATGGAGAAGTGAACTGATGTTTATTTTTTGCTAATTTTTCGTCAGAATCCGGCAGCTTCCATTGGTTTATATGTTGATTCTGGTTCTATCTATGAGGCGCCTTATTTCCATGGAGCAACGCATTTGCTTGAAAGGATGGCTTTCAAGAGCACGTTGAACAGAAGCCATCTACGTCTTGTGAGGGAAATAGAAGCTATTGGAGGCAACACATCGGCCTCTGCGTCCAGAGAGCAGATGAGCTACACTATTGATGCTCTTAAAACCTATGTACCTGAAATGGTTGAAGTTCTTATTGACAGTGTGAGGAACCCTGCTTTCTTGGATTGGGAAGTGAATGAAGAGGTAAAGAGATTTTTTTTTTCTTCATTTGTGTTGTTGTGATAACTCGGTGAAGACTTTGTGTGACTTATTTTCATGTGTCGATTTCTGCAGCTACGTAAGATGAAGCATGAGATAGCGGATCTTGCAAATAACCCTATGGGTTTCCTCATGGAGGCTGTTCACACTGCTGGTTTTTCCGGTGCATTGGCAAATCCTCTGTATGCACCTGAGTCTGCTTTGGACAGATTGAATGGGGAGCTCTTGGAAGAGTTTATGAGTGTAAGACCGCATCAGCTTTTTGAGATTTTTCAAAATCTATGTTATTACAATCGTTTGCTTTATTTTAACTCATTTGATCTGTGGATTTCAGGAGAATTTCACTGTTTCGCGTATGGTACTGGCAGCAAGTGGTGTTGAACACGAGGAGCTCTTGAAAGTTGTTGAGCCATTAGCTTCTGACCTTCCCAATGTACCGCGCCAAGCGGAGCCAAAATCTCAGTATGTTGGTGGAGATTTCCGTCAACATACTGGTGGAGGGGTATAAATAACAGTTTTTTTTGGTCACTGGACAAGTTTGTTTGCGGTGAAAATGTGTTTATGTTAACAATTTTGATTGAGCATTTTTGTTCCGTCATTTTCAGGCTACACATTTTGCTCTTGCCTTTGAGGTGCCTGGCTGGAAAAACGAGAAAGAAGCTGTCGTTGCTACTGTTCTCCAGGTTTGTACATTTTACATGTACTAATAAGTAACCATTTTTTGCATACTAGTGAAGATTTAGTTAATGTTAATCTTATTGCTATTAGATGCTTATGGGAGGAGGTGGCTCATTCTCTGCGGGAGGCCCCGGAAAAGGAATGCACTCATGGCTCTGTAAGTCAAAAATTTCAAGCTTTCTTAATGCACTTCAGTTTTCTGCATTTACTGAACTAGTTCATGAAACGTTCACAAAGCGATCAGTGATAGTGACACAAGTTCCTATGTTGTCTGGTTGCAGATATCCGTATCCTAAATAAACATCAGCAGGTTCAGTCATGCACTGCATTCTCTAGCATCTTTAACAACACCGGATTGTTTGGAATCTACGGTTGCTCGGTAAGCTCAGCAATCCTGATGTTTGCTTTTCTATTGATGAGATGTGTACAAAAGGAAATATTGGTATAGTGATTATGTATTTACATTGTTGAGTGCAGAGTCCTGAATTCGCTGCAACAGCAATTGAATTAGCAGTTAACGAATTGAAAGATGTTGCAGGAGGAAAAGGTTTGTAGTTTTGTTTCCTCCTTTTTTTCACCTAATCTAAACCATTTTTTGTTATATCTATGAAACATTTTTCATTTTTGATATATATGTTGGACAGTAAACCAGAAGCATCTTGATCGCGCTAAGGCAGCCACAAAATCTGCAGTTCTGATGAATTTGGAATCTCGGGTATGCTTTAACTCTTTTTTCACTCTCCACAAAGATAAGATCCGTTAAATGTTATTAACAATTGTAACGTGTCCTTTGCAGATGATTGCATCGGAAGACATTGGCAGACAGATACTTACATACGGAGAGAGGTACATACAAATTTCACTCAACAAACTCAAAATCTCCGTAGTTTCTTTCTTCTTGCGCATGATTGTCTTTTTTTTATAAAAATATTGCAGGAAACCAGTTGAGCAATTCCTGAAGACAGTAGACCAACTAACCTTGAAGGACATTTCAGATTTCACCAGCAAGATTATTTCAAAGCCTTTGACAATGGGTTCCTTCGGAGATGGTAAACAAGTTTTCAATTTTGTGTCTCGCTTCTTATTAATCATTTATGCTTTTTGCTTGTAGAAAAACAAAACCATAATCTTGTGACTTTATTGTGTGCTGTTCTTTGTCTTAAACAGTGTTGGCTGTTCCGAGCTACGACACAGTGAGCAGCAAATTTTGTTGAAGCAGCAGAAACAATTGCCAAAAACTCAACAATATTTTGGGACTTGTAAAATAAAGAAAGATCGTTGGAGAAGAACAAGAAGAAGACCAACCAATTTTAATTTTTTTTCTTCTTACAGTGGTCCTATTTTTATGAAATGGATTTTTGTTTCCAACTACAGTAAAAATGGCGGATTCATTCCTGTCCGTCTCCCCAAGTTTTCAAGAATATTTGTATTCCAATAAATAATCTTTTTCTACGTGCAAACAACTTCAATCCCTCTATGGTATACATATTATTAGTACTATGATTGATGTCATGTCTATGTAAGAGGTTTCAGTTTTTATCCATTCTTACATTATCAAGAGTATTGTTGAAACTCCTGAGTTCACTTTTTTCAGATTGTAACGAAACCAGTAAATATAAGTTGGCTTATCAATTCGTAGGTTATTAGAATTAAATGGACCTTAATAAAAATTAGGCCCATTTACAAAAAGGCTCGTCGTCAAAATGATTTACCTCTGAGAAAACTCGTTTCCTTCTCCGACGCAAACATGAGGTTTCTTTGCCGCCGGTTACTCAACTCCGTCGATGCAATTGCCGGAGTAAACAGCCGGCGATACGCCACCAAGTACGTGGCCAAAGTCACTTCATCATCTCCCTCCGGTCGCACTCTCTCCGCCGAAGTTTCATTTCCTACTCCTCTCCCCACCGACGTACGTGGCTACACTCTTCCTCGCCGCCATCTCATCTGCCGAGCCACTAACCTCCTTCTCCGCCACCGCGGAGGCGCCGCCGGAACTTCTTCTAACCTCTCCGATGCCTTTTCCGACCTCTCCGACTACCTCTCTTCACTCTCACTCTCCCTCACTCCCGACGAAGCTTCCGAGATTCTCAAATCCCTAAATTGTCCACGCCTCGCCGTCGAATTCTTCCAATTCGTTCCCTCCGTTTGCCCCACCGCTCACAGCGACCCTTTCCTCTACAACCGCATCATCTCAATCCTCTCCAATTCAAATCTCCCGGACAGATTCGACCTCGTCCTCTCGATCCTCGACCTGATGGCGAAATCAAACGTCCGCGGCAACATCTCCGCCGTCAACATCTTAATCGGTTTCTTCGGAAACACAGACGATCTACAATTGTGCTTGAGACTGGTGAAGAAATGGGAATTGAAGATGAACTCCTACACCTACAAGTGTCTCCTCCAAGCCTACTTACGATCTCGCGACTCCTCAAAAGCATTCGATCTCTACTGCGAGATCAAAAGAGGAGGAAAGCATAACCTCGACATCTTCGCCTCCAATATGTTGCTTGATGCTTTAGCTAAAGATGAAAAGGTACTCTCACTCTCATTGTTTCATCCACACACAAAAGCTAAGTAATGAATGGTGCAGAGTTTTCTCAGATTGATCAGGCTTTGCAAGTGTTCGAAGATATCAAGAAAAGGCATCGTAGAGGAGATGAGTATACGTACACGATCATGATGAGGACGATGGGGAGGATCGGGAGATACAACGAAGCCATTGCTCTGTTCAACGAGATGATAACGGAAGGGCTTACTCATAATAACGTGGTTGCTTACAACACACTGATTGAAGTTCTTGCAAAAGGTAAAATGGTTGATAAGGCTATTCAGGTTTTTGCTAGGATGGTGGAGAAGTGTTGTGGACCTAACGAGTTTACGTATGAGCTGGTTCTGAAGCTTTTAGTAGCTGAAGGTGAGCTTGTGAGGTTAGATGGGATTGTAGAGATGTCGAAGAAGTATATGACTCAAGGGATATACTCTCATTTGGTTAGAACGTTAAGCAAGTTAGGGCATTTGAGTGAGGCTCACAGGCTGTTTTGCGATATGTGGAGCTTCCCTGTGAGAGGAGAGAGAGATAGTTACATGGCGATGCTGGAGAGTTTGTGCGGTGCGGGGAAAACCGTTGAAGCGATGGAGATGTTGAGCAAGATCCATGAGAAAGGTGTTGTTACTGATGCTACAATGTACAACGCCGTGTTCAAGGCGCTTGGGAATCTAAAGCAAGTCTCTCATATCCATGATCTGTTCGAGAAGATGAAGAAGGATGGTCCTGAACCTGATGTGTTCACTTACAATATACTGATATCGAGTTTTGGTAGGGCAGGAGAAGTTGATGAGGCTGTGAAGGTCTTTGAGGAGCTTGAGAGCAACAGTGGGTTTAAACCGGACGTTGTTTCGTACAACTCTTTGATTAACTCTTTGGGGAAGAACGGTGATGTTGATGAAGCTCATGTGAGGTTTAAGGAGATGCAAGAGAGAGGGTTTAACCCTGACGTGTACACGTACAGCACTCTGATTGAGTGTTTTGGGAAAACAGAGAGGATCGAGATGGCGTATCGGTTGTTGGAGGAGATGGTTGCTAAAGGGTGTCAGCCGAACCTTGTGACGTACAACACGTTTCTTGATTGTCTAGAGAAGAGTGGAAGAACAGCGGAAGCGGTTGATCTGTATGCGAAGATGAAACAGCAAGGGCTCACGCCGGATTCGATTACTTACACTACGCTCGAACGTTTGCAGTCTGGCTCTCATGGGAAATCGAGAATCCGGAGGAAGAATCCGATAACCGGTTGGGTTGTGAGTCCTTTGTAAGGCTCTTGAATCATCGACATGAAGGTTTTGAGAATGATCCTTTAATGGAAACTGCAGCAGATTCTTGAGTGTTTGCTTCTTCTTGAATTAGAGAAATTATTAGTTCAGAACAAGATTTTTACTGACATGTTATAAACCTTGTAATAAGTTAATAACCAGAACCTTTGCATTCAAATTTTGTTTAGTTTTACGCAATTGCAGTTTTAGTCATTGTTCTTTTCCAAGATTGATGCAACATGAAACAAGAAAACAACATTCTATGATTCTTTTTTTTTTTCTTTTTTCATTTGAATAAAGTACATAGAAAAACAAAAGCTGATACTTAAATCAAATTGCATGTAATACGCTTTTTGCAGACCATCGTGAGCTTCCAAATGTGAGCATGTAACGAGGCAACTCGAAGAGAACATTGCAGCCTCTGAGTTTCAAACCTTGAACAACCATATCGCAAATTGGGTCTTCGAAGGGTTCAGAGATCACCAGAAAATTTGGTGGTCTCCAAAGCCCCCTTCTCCAGCTAATCATGTCCAAGAGCATAGTTGTAACTTTTCCAAGTCTATCCTCTTCAGGGATGATCTTGGCATGCACTCCGGCCTTGTGAAAGACATGTCTCATTTCATCGGAAAAGTTTCTCTTATCAATATACACCGTAAATGTAGAGATTATACTTCGATAACCTTTCTTCTCCAGAGCTGATTTGATATTACACCAAATCTTCCTAGGATGGGTTGGGCAATTGTCGACCAACCAGAACACGACCACGTCATCCCATGCAAGTTCTCGGCTCAGGTCTGTGAGAACCCGACTTTGCTTGATAAGCTTTTCTGCTCCCACTGGTGGGCTTTCACAGAGCGACCCAAATCTGCTAACCGTAGATTGATCCACCGATGCCACGTGATGAGAGGGTCGAAAGACAATGTTGATACCTCTGCGTTCCAAAGCTTGAATAACCGCGTCACACTTGTCAGAGGGTTTAGAGATGAGCATCAAGTTGTGAGGCATGCCATCATTGTTCATTGCCCAGAATATCATGTCAAGCAACATCCTAGTCGCATATTTAGCAGATCCAACTCTGGTTGTGGACTTGAACCGGAAACGTCCGAATGTTTCTTTATCCATCGAATCATCATCCTCGTGAACGTAGGGCTTGATAATAACACTGCCGATATAACCCTTCTTCTCAAGAACCTGGTCCACGATCGAGAAATCGGCTGGGCAATGGACATCCCAGAAGATCATTGTATCAGCCTCTGCAATCGAACCACAAAATCCTTCGCCATCCAAAGAGGCTACTCCGTTGGAAAAACCACCAACAACCCTCTCTGGCCTTTGACTTGGCCTACAATCCTTATCCAAAGATTCGATGGTCATAGGCTCTGAGAGATCTTGAGGCAGTCCTAAGAGGACATTGTAATGTCTCTCATGCAGAGCTTCAAGTGCACTGAGGAAATCCGTTTCTTGTTTGATGCTTTCTGAGACTAGCAGCAAAGTTCTTGGTCGAAAATAGCTGGCCGGATTTTCCATGGCCCACAAAACAATGTCCACTAACATAGCATGAGATCTCGCTTCATCATCCCCTTGACAGGGAATGATGGTGATTCCATCCACTTTCCTTTCACTGCCCTCGTTAATATAGGCCACGACTGATGTCGACGCTCCAGGAAGAAGACCATGCGCCTCAAGAGCGAGTTGCGCAAGCGTATACGCATGATAAGGAACATTGTTTATAGGGAAATCCACGCCGTCCCAGAAGACACATGTGCCAAGCTCAGGAATGATGGGACAACTAGGCATGGTTTCGTAGGAAAAATCATAAATAGAAACCTCCTCTCTCTTCCCCTTACCATCTGAGCTGCCAAGTGAGGTTTCACTTTGATCGATAGGCTCGTAGAATGTAGACTCGACGAGAGAATCAGGCTCTAATAGTAGATCGAAGCATACTCGCTCTAGCAAGCTATTTGGTGAGGGATCATGATCAAGTGTTACGAAAACATGGTGACATGGACATGCCATGGATTCAAGAAAAGTGGAGAAGAAGGATTCTTTCTCTATCTCTTTCGAGAGCACCATCAAAGTTTTCCCATGAAAATCCTCGTTACGCATGTCCAGTTCCCACATGGCAATGTCCAGACTCGTGGAACGACACCACGTATGGTTATCCGCTAGTCGGGGAACGATGTCGATTCCGGCATCTTCATAGGCACGGACCAGTTTATCATCGAACTGTTCCTTATCAACATAAGCTATGATTAACATGTCACCACAACAACCCAGCGAATGAAGAAACAATCTCGTCGTGTGATAAATCATATTAGGGCTAAGACCCTCAGGGAACGGGAAATCCACCACGTCCCAGAAGACACCTATGCACTCGGGAAAATTCGGCCGTTTCACAGAACAGTTGGGAATGACCGGACAGTCAGGCTTGACGGTTTCGACGGGAGAAGAGGACATGTTTTCATCCTCCCCAGCCATACTTCTCTTTGACGTCGGAGATTGAGTTTTGCGGAGAAGAGAAGAAGGTGGTGATTGGTTGTTGCCCTAGCAAAAAAAAAAATTTGCTGTAGAATTTTTGCTCTATGTTATTATGTTATATGGTGTGGCTGTGAATTTGTTGCTTATTGGTTGTAGGATTTTAATAAAAAGGGAAATAGATATATGAGGAAAACAATAATAAGGAAAAAAGTAAAGAGAAAAAATAATTTTTGGAAAGAATGAAAGAGAGAGAGAAAAATAAATCCAAAGCCTTTAAAATTATTCTCTAAAAATTTTGTTCTGCAAAACTAAAAATGAAGGAAAAATGAAAGAATGTTGTGGGTTTAAAAAAAAAGTATACTGTATGATTAGTGATCTATTTGGTTTTAGAATTTTTTTTTTTTGCTCTCTACAGCTTCTACAACCATTCACCCCCTGGATTTGGAAAAGATGAATCAAGAAAAAGAAAAGAAAAGAAATTTCCATAAACAGAACTCTAAATTTGTTAAGCGACAATAAAAAATTGTAGCAAAATTCATGTTGAAGCAAATTTACAATAGTTTAAAAGTCAGAGCGGATCATAGGAGCAAGAATAGCGTTGCTGTTGCTCTAGAATCGCGCTGCTAACGCTACTCCTAGACGCCATAACTTCATCCAGCGACAACCGCTTCCTCTCAGAACGCTGACGCGGTGCACTATGGGAACGCACTTTCGCCTTAAACGACTGCGTTTTCTCCATGTAGCCAGGAGTATTGATTCCATGGTCATACAAAGGGTTTTCACAAACATTCTTAGCCGGAGACTGCGTTACGTTACTTACGTAGTAGCGATTATTGCCCGTGTAGTGGTGGTGCAGCGACGAAGATGAGAATCTTGGCGTGTTCTGAGCCGTCGCAGACTTCCACTTCTCCTCCGAGAAACTCAACTCCAAATCATTCTCTTTGTAAGCAAAACCATCTCCATATTCAAACATTGCACCAGCATTACGCTCTTGCCTAGATTTCGAACTTGAACTCGATCTCTTCTTGTATCTATTGTCGATCTCTACAATCTTTGGACTTCTTTCTTCATCGAACTTATCCTACCAACAGAAACACACACACACACATATTAGTCTTGCTTTTGGCTTAAAGGACAAGAAACAATAGAAATGAGATTAGGTTCTTTACAAGGGACTGTCGAGGTTGAAACACGTTGTACTCTTTGTTGAGACAGCGATTGATGCGTTTAGATCGCATCGCGGTTTGGACTCTAATCAAAGCTTCTATGCTTTGCAACATCGCATCAGCGCGTTTTCTTACCAAGTATCCTCTCACTAAAGCTTGTAGCTTCACTATACCTTTCAATGCTCTTAATGCTTTCCTCGCCTAACCATAAAAACAAATATTCGAATTTTAACAATACACATTTGCCAAAATTTGATCTTTAAAAGAAAAGAAAATATATTTTACTGAAGATGTGAAAATTACCAAAGAGCCTCTGAAGACTTTTTGAATTTGCACAGCGGCCCAACGCTCTTCCCTCTTGATTATATCTCCTGCTCTTCCTTCACCGGTCAGTTTAACCACTTCCGCAGCCGCTTTCGCCGCCGAAACAGCTGCTTCGGCTGCTGTTGCCGTAGCGGTTGCAACCGCAATCGCGTGCTTGTTCTGTTCCTTCTCTGTATCTGACAGAAATGTTCTCAGCCAAACAGGGTCCGTCCGGAGATTAATGTCGCCGGAATCTTGACCGCCTTTCTCGGAAACTCCGCTGGAAACGCGGCTTTGTCTTTCACTGCTCTTCTTAAAGCCTAACAAGCCCTTAAACCATCTCGCTGTTCTGCCCATCTTGATATGGAAAAACCAAGAGCACCTTTTCTCTGTAGCCTGTGAAGTGACGAAAATTCAAAAAGATTTCTAAGAATGACAAAATGTACGTTTTGTATAAAACAAAATTTCGTTGCATTGATTTTAAATTATTTTTTTACTTCAAACAGTTTTTAACTTTTTAATCAAATATAAAAAAATTCAAATTTGTCTGTGGTTACGTATATTTTCTCACAAAAATCCAAAACATCCCACTATAGAACAGTGACATGAATATAGCTAGAAGGAGAGTATAACTATGAATAAAATGGTTAAAATTACTCCAATATACTGTATATTATTTTCTTACATTGTAATCATGAGATAAAGCAGTTGATTGACCAGAAATGAACAGACAATACTTAAAGAAGATTCAAACAAAACGATCTGACAAAACCTCGTGAAAAAACTGAATTACAAGACAAAAAATGATGTCGTGGTGAGACACAAATGACTTCCTTCTGATTGGTTTCATTTTTATATTCGTGAAAACCATTCGTAATCGGCTTTGCATATATTAAAATCAAATGCAATGGAACAGCAATTTGTAGACAAAGAAGGAGGAAAATTGAATATAACTTTCTCATGTATGATTAAATAAAGAAATGAAAAGTAGAACTCACCTACAAATGATAAAAGTGGCTTCTCAGTTCTCTGCTTCCAGCAAAAAAATTGCTTCTCACACAATAAGAAATGATACCTTTATGTATGGAGCAATGTGTTTAAAGTCACCCACTCCCACATTTATTGTAATTCCCGTAATTAAGCCCTTTCCCTCTATAACTCTCATTTTTTAAAAACAAAATGTAATTAAAAATGCTAATTAAGATAAGAGATTTTCCTTTAGAATGGCTAAAACATAATCAATGACACTGATTGATCGGTTTAAATGGGGTAATGGACCGTTTTATTGATACTTTTTTTGAATTCTTGAGTATTTACCGTGAAAGCAAATAATATAGGAGTACACTACAATTGTCTTCGTTGACCAAGGGACCGATCTCCCATAATGTCAAATGCCAATGACTCTGAATTTCATGGATTACACATTTACAATACGAACACACACGATGTTTTCTATGTCCATGACCAACTTGGGAAAATCCACATTTTAAAGATTCGTTCACTATAGAGTATAGAGTACTCAATTTTTTGCAAATGCTTAGAAATAAATACACTCGGTGATAACATAACAGTTTAAACTTTTCAATTTTTCAAATAATGTATAAGACGAACGCGAATCTAAAATGCAATCAGTTTTTCTGTTAAACTAGTAAACAATCATTGATTAATTTTGATTTTACAGATTATAGCACAAAATCGTCAACATTTAGATATACACTCCTTTTGATTAAGGCTTTCCAACAGCAAAAATATGGCCTTTCGTTTTTTTGTCATTGATAGAGTGATCCTAAAATGTTGAGGAAAACAGAATCAGCCATCATATCAATGTAGACTACAAAAACAGAACCAAAGTGAATATTTTGTATGGCAAAACGAAAAAGTAACTATTGAGTCTCATATTGCTGCTTTGAATAGTTAGGCAAGTCTCTCAACGAAAAAGACTCTTCACTGCATTCAATTTGTCTATTTCAAATCATTTTCTTAAAATTCCGTAGCCACCAATTTTTCTTTTTTTCTTGTTCAAACAAATTGATCATATGCGATTATATATACAGAAAAATTGCCCTTTATTTTGCATCTCTACTCTAAGAAATGAAAGAGTTAGCAAAAGTAAAATCTGAGATCAACTGATCAACATGCATGCAAGTATGCAACAATCCAATCTTAATTATTTCGATCACTAACCAGAAGATAAGTTTGTTGGCCAAAAGCAAATATGTGAAGACGTGATTAGAAACTGGTTTAAGAAATCTTTCTTACAACTCATTTAAAGAAAAGTTGTTAGATATTTAAAAAACCTTTCACTCTCAGAGTTCATTACAGTAGCCGAAGTAGACTTAATGAGAGCTAGCTAAAAGAGCTTTTGCAGAGGAAAAAAGATTGCTTCTTTACCTCTTTTCAAAAAAGATGCTTTGCAGAAATAGAGAGGGGCTATAATATTGTAGTTCGTAAAGTGTTCATTAAGTGTGACTAATCATGATCCAAAGCTTTAAACAGCAGCCAACAATGCCTAAAAGCGTCTGTAATTTACTCAAGACCCAAAAACATATTTTCAATGTCAGATCTTGAATTCCAACAAAACTCATCTATGAAAATCTCAAAAGTCAAAAGAAGATGTAACAAGCCATAATGTTACATCAGACTTGAATTAGAAACGTATCATGACCAAAAGCTCATCAGAGTTAAAAAAGGCAAAAGAAAAATAATAACATCCTCTACTTCTTTAAGCTGTAAATATTCCTCTCTTCAGCTTCTCATCTTCTCCTGCTTACCATTTCCATCTGCAAAATTCAAATCGAATTTAGATAAAAAAAATTATATAATTTCACACAAAAGGGTCATAAGACAAGAGGAATGTTTTGAAAGATAACACTTACATGTTAATGCTGAAGAAATCTCAGAGCTTTTAATCACACGCAGCCTCTTCACCGAAGATACAAACATACTGAAAATAAGAGAAAAAAAACAAAAAAAACTGTGATCAGAAAGTCGCAAACTTTAAAACGCTTTTACCAAACAAAGTTTCTTTTGTTTTTGTTATTGATCGAAGTATGATAAGACACAATAAATATGTGACTAGGAATCTAATTCTTCTCCTTTTGATAGAGAATGAAAAAGCTGAATCAGATTCAGGAAAAAAGGAAAAGGATTCTTACTGCCATGGGACATCTCCTACAAGCATCTTGTCTCCTTCATTGTCTTCATAAGTAAGAGTATATTCTCCATTCCCATCCAATAATCCAGTGATCGGTTTCTCTTCTTCCCCAAATGATGATGATTCTCTTTGAGCTAATAACATCAGAAAACACAATAATCACAAAAGTGCTCTGATTTGAGTCAAAAGTTTGAACCTTTTTGCAGGGAAAATTTACCTGCAAGAAGACCTCTGAAGAGCTTGTCGACTGTGAAAGATAGCTGCTCATAGCTATTGTGCGCACTGAGATCAACTTTACGACCAATAGGAACACCATACATGTTGATCTTCACAAACATGCCTCCTTCTCTCTTTGGTTCCATTGTCTTTCCTCGGCCACTTTCATCATCACACTTTTGATTCTTGGAGGTGGACTCGTTCCCAAGCTTTGAAGCGCTACCATTGACTAAATTCTTCCGGAATGATCGAACCGGAGGCCAACCCACCACTGGACCAGGAGCAGTTCTGTAACACAACAGAAAGGAAGAAACTTTTTAGTAAGAACAGAGCAAATACAGAGAAGCATCTAAAGATGGTTAAAAAGGTGAAACAGAGCAAATACAGAGAAGCATCTGAAGATGGTTAAAAAGTTGAAACAGAGCAAATACTATTAAGTAATTGAAAACAAACAAAGGCAGTAAAAAAGACTGAGACTTTAGCATGTGTGAAGGGAAAAAACGAACAGAAAGGTCAAAAAAACCTTTGAGATCCAATCTTAAGCAGACAGAAATGAACAAAAGTTTTGCAGATGACGGGACCAGTTATTGGTTAATTTCAAGTGAATATTACCATGACAAGAGGATACAAAACAGATAAAAACAAAAACAGAGAGATGAAAAATCAAAGGTGAGATTTTTAACCTCTTATGGGATGTGGTTTTGTTGGTGGTGGAAGAAGGAGAGAAGTGGTTGCCAGCGAGACAAAGGATAGATTTGTCTTTTGATTCTCTCTTGATACGTCTTAGAATCGATGTACCATCTTCGTCTTCTTCACCACCGGGTGGTCCGAGCTTTAACTCAAGTTTCTTCTCTTCTGTGCTGTAAACAGAGGTTTTGTCGTCTTGAAGCCAATTTCTTCTCCCTTGTGGTATCAAATTGAGGAGCTTTGGACAGATTTCGCCGTTTCTTGAACAACCCTCCATTAAGTTTCTTTGACCAATAAATTCCGACACGAGAAGACTTTAAAATACTTTGTCTTTAAGAGTTGACAACTTGTTCACGCAAAAGAACAAATTTGCCTAAACCCAAAATGAAAGAGCGAATAAGAAATTTCTGCAACTCTCAAAAACCCTTTAAAGCAACTTAAAAACCAAAGAAAGAAGAGAGAGAAGTTGAAATGGTGTGAGGAAGGTAGAGAGGTGATTAATGGGTCTTTTATACAACTCAAAGCTTCGCTTTTTTCATACCAAAAAAAAAAAAATGTAAACTTTTTTTGGTGGGTTCGTCTCTTTCTCTCACATCCACTCTCTCTCTCTCTGGATACTGAAAGTGGAAGAGATTATTGAGAATACAGTGAAAAAAGGAGACGAAGTCAGACTTATACGGAAGGAGAGACAGTGGTAAAACCAGAGGACAACAAAAGGAATCAAACCAAAAGTTAATAAGAATTGGAGACCAAGGAAATTACAGTAGTACAAAATTAAAAAAGAATTTATTGGTGTGAAACACACGCAATCCTCTTCTCTCTCCCTTAAAGAACGGTAAGATAGTTTAGTGGAGGAAGCAAAAGCGTGCTGTTTTGTTTTGTTTTGTTTTAACCCCATAGGCCTCTTTTTTTCATCAACTCTTTCTTTTCTGCAATTTTTAAAAGAATCTTGTTTCACATGGTAAAAGTTACATCTTCTCTAGCGCAAAATAAAACATTTTCATTGATACTTTTGAATACAGATTTTTTTTTTGTTAAAAGACTAGTATAATTTTATAAATTTATGCCTATCAGAAAAATTGTGGGAAAAAATTTAAAGAGAGATTTGTAAACTAGCAAAAAAAAAAAAAAAACACTAATTAGTAAGTACACTGATTTATCATTTATGTCAGTAAATTGTACATAGGCAGTATCATTTAGGAGGCAGAGTATATATTAAAAAAATAAAATATAAATATAAATATGGTTGCCATAAAAAGAAATGGAGGATTCTACGATCTTTCTCTGGTCTGTTAGGATCACACTCCTATCGACTGTCCCATAAGACACGTATTCCAATGTGTTCGAAAGTTAAATGAATTTAGACATCTATACACGAAACCTTTCTAACTTTCTTTATTTTATTTTCAGTTCCCATTCTTTCTTTAATTATTACTTTTATTTTCACAAAGTAGTTTGGCTATTGTCTTTAATTTTGTACCCAGCATTATCAGTTTACCATTAGGGAAGCATATTTAAACTCGAGTGATACGAGGAATATATTTTATCATCTTACAGTTTAGATCGATTACACATAGAAACTCTTTCTATTACGTTAGGTTATTTTATTATTATATCCTTTACGTTCATTATAAACGTAGTACTAATTTTGTTTATACAAATCTAAAGACTAATAAGATATCAATCGCTTTCTTGTGATTTACCCATCACACGAGTGACAAAAGAAAAAACAAAACATAGTTCGAGTTAGTTTTTCGAACTTTACATAAATAAAAGAAGAATTATTGTGTATTTGTCTTGCATTAATTAAGAACATATTCAACGGGTAGGCTTTAGGTAGCATCAAAGGAGGAAATGAAGAATTTGGACATGTATCTCACATGTGTGAGGTACCAATATTACGCAAAAGCCGAATCAAAAGTCGCTCGTGGGAGTTTTGGTCAAGTAAGGAAGGGTAATTTCGGAACTTTACATAAATGGGTTATCTTATCACTAGTCATTTCTTGTCTCCATATCACCCAACTCCCACATTTCTTCCATCATCTGCTAATATGTAGACAAAATTCTGACAGACAACCTTAATCACGGTTCCTTAATCTCTCTGCTTTAATCATCCTTGGAGTATAAATCATTCTTTTTCTTGATTTATTTTTTGTTAGTTATTAGTTATACAAGGCACTCTAGATATATACAATTACAAACCATATGTAGTTAATATTTTCCAATGCTAAAACGAGTGTTGCATGATGCCAAAAACACCGACACTGTTCTTGTAGTTTTGGAAGCTCGAATAGCGTTTAACACAGGAGAGTGTTTGGTAGATCGCGCGTTTTGATTTAGCTTGTTCTTTTATGGAAGCCACGTGGCAATTATAGTCGAGTAGACAGAGACTAGAGGGAGAGAGATAGAACGAATCTCTGACTTGTGACAGTACTTCTTCTCTCTATCTGGACGGTAGACAAAAGTTGTACAGTTCGCTTTAGATCTCCTGATAAGGTTTCATCTCAACCGTGGAACTCAAATAACACCACTATCAACGGCTACGATTATTACCGTACTCCAAATAAAAAAAAGATAGCCGACTGACTCCATAACAAAAATTAAAGAGGGGAAAGGAATAAAACAAATCGTGAAATAAATGTCAAATCTGAGATAAAACATAAAAGCAATAGTAGTGGAGTGGTAAAATGATACTCTTCCACAGATGGATCGTGTTACAACTTACAAGGCTCCACCTCCCGAAAATGATCAACCTGAGTTTTTCTTTTCTACATTTATTTTAAAAGTTTGTTTGTTCGATTTGTCTAAATCATCGAATCATTTTATTGACTTCCTATTTTTTAGGAGAGGGTATTTGTATTACTATAAGTCTATAACCAATCGATACTTTTGTGAGTCTAATCTTATGATAACAGCGTATTTATTTGTCAATTATTCGTGGGCATATCATAGTGCAAAAGATTCGGGGGTTCCAAATCCAACGTGACAAATGTTTGTAATGAGTGTTTGTGGGGAATACTTGATAGATCATAGATGATATACATTATTTCACTGAAGTTGCTTTTTGAATACAGTACATGCTACTGCTTCCTTTTGCTGAATATGCCAAGTACTTTTTATCTGATAGCATTAACTATAACAGATACATCAGATTTATTTATGGCTGGGTCAATATCATTTATTGCTCCTTTTACGTTGGTTCATATTGCAAACGTTTATAACCGAGAGAAGGATATAACATTTGCAAGAAACGTTTGTTTTCTCTATGCCGATTCATGAAACTCGAATATCTGAAATAGCAAACTCTGCATAGTACAGAGTCGTGTTAATCTCTTATAATCCATTTACTATCCAGCATAGTACCATAAACAATATTTAATGTTTCACATGCATAGTTCTTGAAACTACAAAGACTCTGTTCCTTGGTCAAAACTATTGGATATCTTATGTTCTTCGTACTCATTATAGATGAGTTAAAGCCCAATTAAGCACCTACTGTATATCTACTCCTAGAAATGGTTTATGCAATTTATTTTATGCTTGATCGTTAGCCTAATGATCGTAGTATTTTGAAATTACTAGTTTATCACGAACTACTTTATAAACGGAATATTATAAGTTGTTAATTATACAAAAGTGGCATGCTCAATACTTTTAACTTTACTATTGTTTTGATAATAATCAGAAGCATCAAGCCAAGGAAGAGGAAGAGGTAAAGGTCACAAAGTTTTCAGCTACTAGTCCTAAAGGGCGAAAGAGCTTCTTTTTGTATTCCTCAATATCCATCGAGAGCATATAAGAATATAAAGACTTAAGAAACAGTTAATCATTGAAGAGAGTCTGACTATAAGTTGATAAATTATGTCCCTAAAAGAATAAGTAAGGGTAAACTATATGTTTTAAAGTTTCGACTTCAGTCATGCCTATATGATGGTCCATGGACTCTATGAACAAAATAAAGTGGACCGATTATTAATCAAAGCCATCGAAAATGTATTGTTTTTAACGTGGACCATTTCACAAAATCTGGATATATACTCTGGTAATGGCAAGACTGGTACAGAAAATTGACGTTGATGTCGTTGAGCTTAAGAATTGTGGTGGCTTTTATTTTATTTTATTTCTGTTAAAATGTTGTGGGGCGCAAATAAAATGTATTTGTTAATGATTGAATACAAATTGGAATAGGCCCTTTAACAAAAAAAAGAATACAAATTGGAATTAGAAGATTGGGGGCAAGGTTAAAGAGTTGAGAACAAGAAACGTATTAAAGGGTCGATTATAATTTCCTATTTCTAGGGTACGATACTACGATTGACTGAGTTACACACACCGTTAACATTACAACTATATAACCGTTTTTCTTTTCTTTTTGTTTGTTTTGTTTTTTTTTTTTACATCAACTATTAACATGATGTTCTTTTGAGATCATGATTCTTACATTACGAGTCTAAAATTTGTTATTTTAAGATTAAATGAGTCTCGAGTTTACTCATTTTTTCTCATCATCTCTTATAAACTCACTTTAACGTCAATTTGATTAAGAATGAAACGACTTATGAAATTAGAAATGCAAAAAATTGTGACTTGATAACTTTTTTTTTGAGGAAAGTGAGACACCATGTCTAAAGTGTCTTCCTTAAGACACCATGACTAGTTCCGTTTCTGACACTTTATTTTTCGTTGGGGTAGATTTTCTGAGCCCAAGAGATGGAAGCCTGATGGATCTTTTAGTGTGCACACGACGAGACAAGCCAAGGCCACTGAGCCGCCACCGCAGCCGCAGGCTAAACCAGAGTTGTGAACTAGTCCTCCTCCGCAGCTTCAGCTTCTGTTTTGGTATAATATCTCTAGTCAGAATCTGGCCCACTAGACTGAAGGTTCCATGTTGCTCATTAAAGGTTCTTCTGACTATAGCTAGGCGATCAACAACATGATTACCAAGTAGAGCATCCACGCACGGGTCCTTGTACCTTATGTAGACAATTACAAAATGCTTGGAGTTCTTGAGTCCCTCTTCCACATCTTGGGTACTTGTATCTACAGCCACTTTGACAATCTTCAACTTGGACAGGTCATGATTCTTAACGCTGTTCCTAATAGTAGTCGCAACCGCAAGCTCCAAGTATAGACGAATCCAGTCGTCATTCTCTTGCACCTCTGATTTCTCCAGCTGCATGAAAAAAAACAATCATTGAGCCAAAGCGAAAGCGAAAGCAAAAAAAGTCAACGAAAAAGTTGGTCTTAATCTTACCACGCGACATCGCTTTGAGTTTTCAAAAGGATCTTCTGGGGGCCACTGAGGAATGGTATTAGAGAGGAAGAAGTTTTTCACAGGTTTGTAATCGCTGCTTCTCTTGATATCACCCAAGTTGGTTCCGCCTATATATACAAGAGAGTAGACTAAATCAGCAATTTTTTTAAAGTGATATATATATATATATATATATATATATATGTATACAAGTTGTTAATGCTTCACGTAATATTACCTAATGGTCTAGCAATCGCGCACAATAAAACCAATTTGCCAGACTGAAGTTCTTGAACTCTAGTCTGAAAAGTGAGAGGCGAATTGGTAGCTGGATCCATGGCTTCCAAAGTGATGTAGTAACCGCAAGCTGCAGAAAAGGTGGTCTGGTTGTATTTCGTTACGCTAATGAGCTCTAAGTTTTTTCCCTAATAGGATCAAGCAATCGATTAATTGAATGTACATATGGATAATGGAACAGAAGAAAGAAAGAGTCATATATATATAAATATATACCTGGAGCAAATTGTAACGATGAAGGCCCATCCTAGCATAAAGGAGGACTATGCGACAACATGTATCATTACTACAGATGTATTCCATCAGGCCACGACAAAGGTCTGGTGCTGTAAGACCACCCACATCGAACCCCTAATTTATCAGCAAGTAAATTAATCAAATCGCTATCTCATAAAAACTAGCTAACAAGTAGACTCAGAATATATTATTTACCTCGGATTTCCTCACTACCTCCTCATACTCAAGCGTCTGGCGATAAGCCTCCTTCATACCCTCTTTTGTTGGATACCAACCCCAATCCCACGCCAACGGCAGACGCTTCTCTCTTTTTGTTTCACCCGACATTTTTTTCATTGTTTGGTCGATTTAGGTTTGTCCACGCGATTCCAAGTATATATACCCTTATCCTCATTTACATGGGCTTCAATTGGGTGGGCCTTTTAAAAGATCTTATGTAATTATGGTCATCGAAGAGAGCCGGATTCAATAGCAAGACTTGTTAGACTTATGTAATTATATTGTCTCTTACTGACTTTGTTTGTTTTCTCAACTGAAAAGAGTTTTCTTCATAAAATATCTTGTTTCATCTTTGTTTGGAGAAAACCTTACTAAGAAAATATGTCTATCTATTTTACCTTTATCTCTTACGTACAAAGACTGTCTAGGTACAAGACTTCGGTTCGGTATGTACCAAAAAAGACGCACTATTGTAAAGCGCCTATACGCGTTCTAGTTTATACACACACACACACTTCCGTATTTAAAGTTTCAAAGAGAATTTCCAAAATATAAAACCATGAAAATGAATAGTATGGGTATTAGCCTATTAGGTACTTAGATGAAGCCGCGTTTCTTTCTCTCAGGACTTGCGCTTTGATTCCATTCGTCCTCATTTGGAAATTCTCAAATGCTTCAGAAACTGCTTCTACCTGTTACTATTGCAAACAAAAAACAATTTTTATAAATGTTACTTTATCATGTATTGAAAGGAAAAATGAAAGTAATGTGACGATAATATATTGATCGCATTTCACAAACCAGTTATGGCCTTTTTAGCATAGACTCTGACTATCGTGTCTTGAAATGTTGTTGGGAACAAGTGACTAACTCTTTCCTCAGGTATCACAAACTTCTCCTCACTCTCATAATCCTGTGAAAACCGTAAACCAAAATGATTATGAGATAACTTATCTCCAAATTTTCCTCTGTACACGTACATTAGAAGTTGATATGTAAACAAGAACAGAGACTGTATAATAATTTTAA